ATATAAAGTGTCTGATTAAGGCAAGATTACGTGCCTGATCTTATCCTCAATTATTTCCTCTAAACAGATTAAATTTATACTGATTAGAGGTAATTAGTTTAGCTCACGTAAGTTAATCTACTACTTACAGTCCAATATCAATTTCTGAATAATTCAATATTGTTTTATATTCTTACTCACGTAATATTTCAAACTGTTTCAAGTCTTGAAATTAATTTTAGACTGAACAAATTCTAAATTTTAATTTTCTGTATTCTATCCCGAGAATGACGTTTCTGACAGTGTCAACTCCCGAGCTCATATTGTATCCATCTACTATAGGTATTTATCTTGTGACTTTAACCTAACTGTCTGGCAATTAAGGATTTTTTTCTTCTTTTAAAATGTCAGTGCGTTTTTTTTTATACGCCGCTAACATCATGCTGTGCTTAGAGATTCTTAAAATTAAGATTCTCAAACTATACTTGTACTGAAAATTATTCCGCCTTAAAATACGGCGAGAATTTATCGATCGAATTTACTTGATCGAAACATGAACTTAACATGAAATTTGCTATAGAATTTAGGAATACATATATTAATTCCATAAATCCTCCATTCACAATATAACATAATATTTTCTAAGAAAATCCTTGGCTTAAAAATACATGAATTGTATTATTTAAGGTCTGAAATTTTCTCAGTCATTACACATTGTCACTTGATTGGAGATGCTATGGTTAGTTGATTACCTTATTAATGAAAAATGAACTAAAGAGACTAGTGTTAGAAAATATGCAAAAAGACTTGTATGTTGTGAATAAATAATAAATAAATATGTGGATGCAACAGAAAGACACATCAGATGTGTTTAGAACTCGTTCTAAAATAATTTTATTTTTTGTATGAAAATAGAAATGAAAATGTTTTCAATCTCAGACATAAATCATTTTTAAAAATGTGTTTGGTAGTTTTCTCAAGATATTATTTTTAGTATAAAAAAATCCATTAATGTCTCTCTCTCCATCTTTGTTCGAGAGAGGAGAAAACGGAAACAAAAAATGAAAAACAACAAATTTATTTTTCATTTCTCTCCTGTTTTACACTAAATCAAAAAATCGTTTTCATTTCCGTTTTTTTCTTTAATTGTGTCAAACGCTGTTTCTCTCATGTTTTCATTTTTTCTTTCTCAAAAAATGTGAAAAACAAAAAGAAAAGTAACTCCAAACACAACCATAACCTTCAACCCCCTATTAAGATCACTTGGGCCTCGTTCACTTCGCGGATTCGACTGGTAAAAAATAATTTATGTAGTGAAAAATCTTAAAAATCTTTATTTACATGAAATTTCTTTTACCAGTCTTAAAAAGAAAATTTACGTAATGTAAGTAAGCCATTTATGCGATAAATTACTATTTAATTCAAATAATTTTAAAATATTATTTACTTAATTTAGTTACCTTAATAATATTAAAACCCTTCACCTTTTAAAGAAATATTCTTTTAATACTCTTAAGATCAATTTTTGAGACATAAAATGCTCGCTTTATCCTTCTTATTAATTAACAATGAACTAATAATTTTTTAAAAAAAAATTAAAAATACTTTAAAACATTTGAAAATTAAACAATCAAAATAAATTAAAAATATTTTTTGTAAATATTTTTAAAATTATTAATCTCTATTTGATTAATGGAAAATGGCCGTTTAAACCTTATATGTCCAAAAAAAAAATGTGTTGCTCAAATCGAAAAGAAAAAAAAAATGATAAACTGAACATAATAAAAATGAATGGTTCAAAACCATACCATATTATTATAGCAGTATGCAAGTAATTGGAGGGTGTTAATGAGTGATTATTACTGATTTCTGATAAAGTTTTCCCTCCAATTCAGATAAAGAATTGCCCAAAACGAGTGGCTTTGAATCCTCTCCCCTTTCTCACATCTGAACCCAACAAATAAAATAAAACAAAACAATCCACTGAAACCATGTCCACAATAACGCTTTCCTTCATCAATGGCAATCCTGTTCCCTAGTTCTTCTCTCTCCTCAAAACCCATTGGAACCCAAACAAGGCCTCGCAATACCAAACCCAGAGGCGTGGCAATGGCTTCCACAGTCAGAACCAAAGTTGTCCCCGCCGTCATCGTCGGCGGCGGAAGGGGCGGAAGAGCCCTCCAGGAGATGGGCAACGGCCATGATGTTCTGGTCAAGAGAGGGGACTCTGTGCCGCTTGATTTCAATGGTCCCATCTTGGTCTGCACAAGGAATGATGATCTCGAGGCTGTTCTTGAGGCCACTCCTAAGTCCAGATGGAACGGTATGTTCCGTATCGTACCTCACCTGAAATTTAGGGGTTCTTTTTTTTTTTTTTTTTTTTTTAATTTACGGTTTTGGTTAATGGGCTCTTATTGAATTTGGAAGTTCAACTTTATTGTGTATTGTTTGAAGTGGAAATGCTTGTGGATTAAGTTTACTTATAGAGCATCTGTTGTATTTGACTAAACTTTTAAGAAATTTATGTCTTGCAAAGAGTTTAAATTGTAAATGACAAAACTTTTTTTTTAAAATTTTTTTTTATAAATAAGAAAAAAGAACTTTTATTGCCTTAAGATGGAGAATATTGGATAGCCCTTATTTGCCAAGAAGCAATAGTCTCAGTCATTTACAATTTGTCATCACTTATCACAATAATTGATTTATTAGTGTGCACTGTGTTTTCTTGTAACTTCTGTAATTCACTTGTTTTCTTGTGCACTATGTTTTCCGTATACTTATGAATTAGATTTCTGGAGTTCTTACAGTTGTTTTCTTCTATCACGTAAATCGCACGGCATTTCTCCATCGGTGATTCGAACTTGGGCTAAAAAATAGCCAATATTTGAGCTTGAGTGCATTTGATGTTTCAGTTGTAGGATTGTCAACTGATACTTAATTTTCCTTTTCAAAGAAATTTCCTCTGTACTTTGCCCCCTTCTAGGATGATTTTAAGTCACTTGATCACTGAGTGCGGATTGGTAATATGTTATTTGAAATTTTTCTCACTTGGAATTAGTATTATTTCAATTGGTTATGGGTTTGTGAGACAGCCAATGGATTTTAACAATCTAGCAGATTTGGTTTTCTTCCAGAATGGGATGCTGGAGCCGTGGCTTCAAAGTAAAGGTCTTGATGATGCAGATCAAGTATTGGCATACTTTGCCGTATCGAAGTTGGGTGAACCTCCTGTTGATGGAAAGACTGATACCAATCCTGAAGGACTGACAGCAGCATATGGTAAATGGGCCAATGCAGTAGCGGAAAGATTACTTGCTGGAGGTCTCTCTTGCAAGGTAAAGAAGAATTTTTATCCAATGTATCACACGTTGAGAAAGTTGGAACTGTTGGGAGTTAAAAAAAAAAAAAAGAGTATCTTCACCCATGGCCCTCGAGGATATGCACTATCTCTTTGGTCCTCGTCATTCACTTTTAGAGGTCTAGGAAGCTACACTGAGGTTTTTGAATTATATTGTTTTGACTCCTCAGTTAATAAACTGTTCAAACAAAATTTAGTGTGAGGTTGGTACATGAGGATTTTAAGTGGGATAAGGTGAAAAAAAAACAGCTTTAAAAAAAAATCTAAAAAGAAAAAAAAAACCCTCATCTGGTTTGATACTGGGTGGCACAATGTGGTCTTTTATTTCTTTTATTTTTCATATTTTAATTATTTTTTTAATATCATTTATCCTTATGTGAAATTCTGTCCGGAAGTAGACAGTTTAGTAAGGAGTGGCCAAAACTGTTCATTCCAAAAACGTCTGGGTAGCTAGACCTCTAAAAGTGAATCTTAAGAACCAAAGTCAAAATGAGACAATTACATATCCTCAGAGGCCAGTAGTGAAAATAACCTAAAAGATTATTGTGTATGCATTGGAAAGTTCCATCAGATTTTAACCCACAGAAGAAAGTTTTCACGGAAAGTTCCATCGGATTTTACTCCACAGAAGAAAGTTTTCACGAGTCAACTTTTCCTTAGGTGGAAGGAATTTTTCTTTTCAAAGTTGAGCAGCATATGAAACTCTTAAAACTAATACGTTTATAATGAAAAGATTCATATTTGAATTGCGATATTCCTTTTCTGAATTAATTTTTGATACAATTTGTTGTTATACAAGCTAGGTTCTAAACAAGGAAGAATTTCAGAAGCAGATGTTAGAGAAACTTATTTGGATTTCAGCATTCATGCTTGTGGGAGCTCGTCATTCAGGAGCAACTGTAGGAACCGTGGAGAAAGAGTACCGCTCTGAAGTAAGCTTTTTTTTTTTTTTTCTGATATCCTTTTAAGTTTAACTGCGAGGTCTTATCCTAACATCTCGGGTGCAAAGAAGTGACCAGAACAGAATAAGATTGTGTCTTTTGTTTTGCAATGGAAATAAGATTCTCAATTTGATACCACCACTTCTTTCTTTGCTTACAGTAATTGCATGATGTTACTGAAAAAAGACGTGTATCATGGGAACTATGCCCTTGTACTCCATATTTTCTGAATGGTGATTACTGATTACTGCTTTGTTGGTGGGCTTAGAAAATCTTGTCAAAAAGATAACAAAATTGTTTTTTGAAATAGAAGAGAGTTTAATACCCTTAATTCATCTAACAGCCATGAAACGTCAAATGAGATGAATAGAGCACTTTGAGATTAGCATGGATCTTTGAGCTCACATCGCAAATTGCTCGTAAAAGAGACCCCCTCCAGAATTTTCACTTATATTCATATCTTCTTTCAGGTGTCTAGCCTCATTTCAGAACTCGCATCGGCAGCAGCAGCAGAAAAGAAGTTAGAATTTGAAGGAGCTATGGAGGAGAGATTATGTGCATACTCTCGTGCCGTTGCCCACTTCCCTACCGCGGTTAAAGAGGTAAAAGTGATCCACGGTCATGTCATGTCACATCGTGCATTTTTCTTTAGTATATATTGTTTTATTTTATTTTTCTTTTTTATGCTTTCTCTAGAGGAATTTATTATATTATTCTTGCTTTGGATTATTTATTTTACCTTCAATGCTGAATTTTTTGCTTTCAGTTCAAATGGAGGAATGGTTGGTTCTATTCTCTTTCCGAAAAGGCGATTGCAGAAGGACAACCCGATCCATGCCCTCTGCATACGGCGTGGCTCAAACAATTGAGGATTATCTAAAAGATGAAACTTTGTGATATTTTGGATTCGTTTTCAAAATAAGGGGAAAAAGTAGCGTTTTGGATCATCTGCTTATAGAGTTATTAGTTGATACTATTAGCTTTGAAATATGTTTTTACATCTACGACGTTTGTAGTCTACTTGTTGTTTCCCTCTAGGCTAACACGCCTGACCTGTTAGATTGTCATGAGTGTTCGCGTCTCTTTAGTAAAAACCACTAAACCAAAAATAATTTTGCTAGTTTAGGCGGTTACATATTTAAAAAGAAAATAATCTAAACCACTTATTAGTGGTTTGGGCAATTAAGGATTAAGCTTAAATAATTTTTTATTAGACAAACACGCAAAGCCAACAGTACAACATTCAAAAATTGAAAAGTTGTCCATCCACAGTGATAGTATCTGAAATTATTTAAATGACGTTTGGTTTATGTATTCAGAATCATGATTCAGAACCATTCTCGTTTTATGTATATTTTTTGTGAGAGAAAACACTGTAAAGAGTCATGAATCATAATTCATAATCATGAACGAATATAAGAAACAAACGTTCCCTTAGTGTTGGAGGATACACTATTCTATTTTAAAACCTACAACAAAATGAATTCTAAAAAATAATTTCATATATGCATTGTCTGTCAATTTTTTGGTCGATTTTAAATACGAAATTGATAAACAAGCCAACTCAAGACCGACCAACAATCTAAAAATATTAACAGTTTGGTTTGGTTCTATTTGGATTGGTTTGGTTTGGTTTTTATCGGCCATTATTGGTCCCCAACCATAATTAAATTGACATCAAATTCTAAAAATTCAATGGAGATAATCACATGTACTCGAAAATAAACTAAAACACTCAACAAATGCACTATGTTATCTTCAATTCTCTTAACTCCAAGCTCATACAACAAAAGAAGCAAAGGAGATTGCTCCATCAACATAGTAAAGTCAGCTTCTTAGATACTCAGAACTGTCTTATTGTTATCAAGTGTACATCATCTATCCAAACAAGGACACCAGAATCAAGAGCATTATGCAATTGTATTTGTATAAAATTGTCATTCATTAGCATGCCGAGCGACGTGTATCGCATTTCTCATTTCGTATGGATGACAAAGATGATAGCAAGAAGTTTGGCACCTTTACTCCAATATCCTGTTTGCAATAGGAATCGCATTTCTCATTTCGTATGGATGACAAAGATGATAGCAAGAAGTTTGGCACCTTTACTCCAATATCCTGTTTGCAATAGGAAAGGAGGGAACTATATCGACGGGTACCTAAAAAATGCAAAAGAAGAGCATCATCAACAACAAGGACATTATGTCATATGCAACTTAAACATCTGCAGCATGGGATTAAGGACTAACTTGGAATTTTCTTTATGTAGCTTTGCAAAAAATAATAAGAGATGAGAAAAAAGGAATAAAATAAAATATAATAAAATAAACGAAATAAGAATGGAAGAATATTTTTCATTTCCGTCAAGGAAGTTGTTCATCTAGATCAAAATGTAGCGGTAAATGAATTTTTTGCTAGTCTTCTTTCCAAATTATATTCTTTGTATAGTTGCTTTTCACTGACAGAAAAGCCAAAACTTAAAATTTAAAAATGAAAGATTACGAGACAGGTTGGTGAAGTCTTTTGATCCACTTCAATGGAATGTAATAAAAATTTCCCACTTATACATAAATACTGGCTTACTTATAACACATAAATACATAAATGCTAAAGGGCAACATCACTGAGCATTCTACTCATCCTATAGTTGCAATTTAAAAACCAATAAGAAAGAAAAAGCAAAATAACAGACAAAATGAATTCAAGAAAATAAAGGTGTCAGCTTGACAGCAGTTTTTTTTTTTTTTTTGATAACTGTGGTATCCGAGACTTGTTAGCAATTTCCTCAATGTGATTAATTTAAGAACAGTGGAGAAAATCACTTAAGATGATCAACCCAGAAATCATTGACTATAGTGAGTAAAGTAAGCTTTTAATCCCCTTTTCTTTTTAAAAGACGAGTGTTGTAGCAATATTTTTTAATGTCACAAGTTACAAATGGCTATAACTATTACCATGTAAAATTTGATGAAAAATGTTCATGCACATACCTGAACGTTCTCTAGTTTCCCCAAAGCAATGTTCAATGGTTCTGTCAGTTTACAGTATTTCTGAAGAAGTAAATTAGCAGCCTCTTTGTCGCCTTTTGCTTGTATTGTGAGTATCTCCCTACTTAAGCTTTCAACCGCACCTTCAACCTTTTATTATTATTATTTTTTTCATTCATAAAACAGATATAAAAGCTTCAGTGTTCAGATTTCAGAAATCAACGGAGCGAAAAACTTTAAACAAATGTAAAGGCATAATAAAAACATTGAAAATAAAGAAATATGAACAGATAATACCTTGGTGAAATCCACAGAAAATTTTTCGTCGGAATGCAAAATAAAGGCCCCTTTCTCATATAACCAATTAAACTGCAGTGCTTGACCTTTGCTGACAATGTATTGCAAATTTGCAAGTATAAGATGATGGTGGCAGACAAACACGTAAAAGAAGCTTGGTGACACTAGATACAAAATGCTTGCGGAAGACCAAGTATGATCGAATAGTAAAGGTTACCCATGAGCTTCTTCCAAACCGAAACGTACTGAGCGGAAGCATCCCGCAAGGAAGGAAACATACATGGATTTCAACAAACTCTTTGGAAGCAAATCCTGAAGAGCTCAGAAAGAAATACACAATGATATTAGCTACGGAAAAAGAAGAACCTATGAAGTACAGACGTAGAATAACAATCACATGACACATAATCAAGCAGCAAATATTAATGCATACTGCATGACAGGGTTACGGTGTCAACAAAAACACAAACGAATTTGTGATACTTGAACTAACTTTGCATCTAAATCACATCTCCAGGCTTAAAAAATTTGTTTATACTGAGGTCAAGTTGGATAAGCAATTATTCATTTACGTGCTACAAAAGTAATAGATTTATGGTTGTTTTGAATTCTCATGATTGTACAGATTGACAGACTCATACTATAAATGATGCAATCAAATTACGCAGTGGGCAACCTGAGTGACATGGCATGCATACTGAAAAATTCAAATGTTGAAGAAAGAAAAATTACAACTTCTAGAACAATGTTCTCGGACAAAGAACTTCTACATCAATCTAGAACTCTAAGCACAGGAAGTTGAATAGAAACTCCAGATACATACACAGAGCTTGTTTGGTAGGAGGGAAAAGTGGAAGGAGGCCGAAGGGTGAGATGATTAGTGGAAGGATTTTGAGACCCGTGGTTGTTTGGTAGGAGAGAAAAGATGAGGAAATGGATTGGGTGAGGGATTTCAAATTCTTCAAAGAACCTCAATTTTAAACTCTCTCATTATGGAGGGATTAGAGGAGAGAATCCATACCAAACATAACAACACAAATATCCCCCACTTCCTCTCCATTTTTCTCACCTAGGGTATATTCCTTTATTTCCTTCTTATTATCTTTCCCTCTAATCAAACATAGCCTAAACTGTCCCTCTTATTAGATCTTAGATGTAATAAAGCCACTAATAAGATGAATGGTTTAGGCTACTATGTCATCAAATGGACTTTTACAGAGTATCTAACTTGTGCAGGAGTTGTTGTAGGCGAGGCTCTTGCACCCCAAAGAGTGATTCTGCAGGCTAAAAACTTAAACCTCACTTGGTGCTGTTTTGAAGGAGATGCTTCCACTGTTTTCAAGGCTTTCAACTCCTCAGCTGCTGTGCCTTTTGATGTTAGAATGCTGATTGATGATTGCAAACATCTCCTTCAGAGTTTTGATGGGTGGCAAGTGAATTGGATGCCACGTCGAAGAAATATGTTAGCCCACGTGGCGAAATGGAGTAGCCTGTCTGATTGCTTTGGTAACATTTTGATAGATTTTGTTCCGGGCAGTGTTTTGTTTGTTCTCGTTACTTTTGCTCGCACTGTCTGTCTTGTGTCCTGCTTGATAGCTAGGCTGGTTTTGGTTTCCTAGTGTTTTGGCTTACTTTTCTTTCTGCTGTGGTTAGCCTGTTTGTTTGGACTTGTTTTAGGGCTTGTTCGTGCCTCTTTAATGAATGCATCTTTCAGCCAAAAAAAAGAAAAAAAAGATTATACCAAATAAAACGTTGCTTACCTGGTCGATTAAGTACCTTAGCGCCCAAAGGCCTACTATGTCAGCTTTTGCTTCTTCCAAAGCAGAGTGAAGTTCTTGCAGCTCCTGCAATGAGAGGAGAGGGAAAACATGATAAATCACACCTCTAGTTAAATGTTTCAGCAAATAGTCCCAAGCTATCAACAACATCAAATTAATTGATTCTGCATCACTTTTAACAAATCGTCCCCCAAAATGTCTATAATCAATATCTTCTAAACTTTGATTTATACGCACGGTGGGACCTAAGTCTCCCTCCAAGGAAAAAGGATATTGTCACATCCTAACAAACCTCAATAATTAATACGCTGTTATAATACCTCATCTAGTTGTTAAACTAGTTCTTAACAAAGTCTTTATTTATTGCAATCTTAAATCTAAACATCAGATACTCTTTTTATGATCTTTAAGGGCAAAAGTAAGCTACATTAAGTAACTCGTTCATCCATCACTTAATAATCACGACTGTTACATAGAACAGAATTTTTTCAACCATCTCTGTTGATAAACTAAATGGAAATTCTTCCGGAGTTATTTTGTTTCCGCCATAGACGCAGTAATTCAATCCAAGCAATTTTTTAAATAAAATAATGAGTACAAAAGATAAACTAAACAAATCCAGTCATAGAGCTAACCAATCTAACAGTAGACTTTTCCCCATTTGGAAGTACTATGGAATGAGGTCCAATCCCATGGCAGCACTCATGGCAGATAGTGTGAGTGAAGAAAGAGTCAAAATCCACAAGTTCTTGTTGTTCCTTCGTAATACACTCATCAGCTATAGGCTGAAGAATATGCTTGAACCTGGATTAGGCAGCTTGATATTATAATGACTATCTCAATTCAAAAAAGGATAGAAAGAAAGATACACCAACAAACTAAGAAAGGAATAAAGGGAATAAATTCATGAAGTCTCGCAATAGCAAGAATAACAATGTTGATAAAGGAGTCATGTACTTGGCCTCCGAAACATTCTTAAGCATAACCATTGATGTTCCGTGATCTTTTACTATGCGCTCGTCATTTGGTAGATTGAAGGCGACAGTTTGAGGACCCTTCACATCCTGATGTATAATTTAAGATTTTCAGCTACTGGATAAATGGGCAAATATTGGCAAAGAGTAATTTTGGACAAACAAGCACAAAATTATGGATGTACATATTACACGAATCCCAAAATAGGAAGCAATTAATATTCTATACTATAATACCCAGAATAGGCATGATGCTTGCTGCATGACTAGTGGTTGAGATATACATGTCTCAGTGTTGTTCAACCAAATGCAGTATTTACAATCCCCAGTTGTTTCAAATTTTTCTGAAAACACCATCACTTATTTGGCAATTAAAGTGCAGTGCCTAAAGTCAAAACAAGACACAAAACAAACTTACAATGTCTAGTTACTCCATATAATCCTAAAACCTTCAATGAAGTTGTGTGCTGCCTAATACGACCATGAATTTATTTTTCTCATATTCTTCAAAGATCTCCATAAGACGTACAATTAAAATGGTAACACCAAAAATGATGATCAATTTGATCATAATGATTTGGTGACAAGATCAATGCACGTCATGTTACTAATTCAATCACCATGGAAGAATTTTCCAGTCAAAAGCTTACCCCGGCATTATAGAGGAGGTTGATGACTCTAATTGGAGCCGCAATCACATCTTTTGATTTGTACATATTGTCCAAGGGAAGATTTTGTTCCAAAACCTACAAATTCATAACACTTTTAGGACCATACAATAGATAGGGAGAAAAAACCGACAGAAAAAACAATTTACAACGAGAAGAGTACTGAACAAGAATACCTGCAAATTATCACCAAAAAGTTCTACTTGAGCTGTTGCTTTGTCATCCCTAACACCGATAAATGCTTCAAATGTAGCCTAAAATGCACTAAAACTGTTAGGTCTATGTGACATCTGAATAAAGCGACAAAGATTAAGACACAAGAACAAAATGAACTTTAAATGTAGCTGTATAATGCAGAATCAATTACAAAAAGGTGCAGGGGGTTGTGGTGGTTATTTATAAAATTTTCCCCGACACAAATCTAGTCGTAGCTAATGGCTTAGAATTCTGTACAGACGGATCAACAGAGCCATCCTGTCAAGCTCCCCAGAATCACCGAGTATGATGCCCTAGGTGAGCAAATTTTATAAAATCTCACTTACAATGTGGACATTTGCCGGCCTTATGCCCATCTACTAATGTGATTTTTTTAAAGGCAAATATCGCAACACAATATCACTTATGATGCTAAGTCAGTTATTGCATCTCTAGTAGATGCCCCTTTGATAATTTAACGCCTCATTCTAATGTTAATATTTTACATCATTATAAAAGCAGAATCCATTTTTCAACGATGCCACAAAATTATCGAAACATTTCGCACGTTTCTATTCTTTTTTTTTTTTTTGCTTCCTCTTCTTTTGTTCCCCCCTTCTTCTTTTATTTGCAACTTTGGCTTCTATTTTGTTTCTTTTACTTTTCTATCCCTCTTTTTGCTTTTCCCTCTAAAATTTCATATATTTTTTAATCGACTTCATTTTACTTTTTTTTTTTTTAATTTTCTGATTTTTCTCTGTTAAATTTATTTTTCTTACAAATGTATCCTCACTTAAGTGTTTTTGTTATAATTTCTTAGAATATTATACATCAAATGTAATCTTTATAATTTTTTTATACCTACCCATTGAAATATTTTTTTCTTCCTCACATTTGCTCCTGTAAATATCTTTTTACTTCTTACATGTTTCTAAGTAGTTTTCCATCTTTTACACACTTAAGTAATTTGCGTTGGTACTTATATCTATTAACATCCACTCAAGGAGGATCCGTTTCTCCTTTAGTGGCTGCGCAAAACATATTGCACATGGTCAAAACATGCGAAACGCTTCGAACGGCTTCTTTTTTTTTTCCCCCAAACGTTTCGCCAAGGTTTTTTCTGTATCTTCTGAGGTTTTTATTTTTTCTACTTTTTTCAAGAAAATTTTTTACTGTATTTTGCTTTTTTCCCCCTGCTTTTGTCTCTATTACTTTTTTCCTTTATTTTTTTTTCCCCTTCCAACAATTTGTATAACCATTGTTTTAAAAGATGTCTGTGCGCCTTTGACTAGCATGGACAAATAAGAGAATAAAAGAGTATTGAAGAAAAAAGCAATCTAGCAACATCATCTCTTTTGCAGCATAACCTATGGCCCTATCCAAGTTTGATCACAATCTTTATCTTACATCATAGGTGAAGACAATGAAAATAAAAGCTACAAGAAACAACTTTATAAACTATACCTTGTACCCAAAGAGTGTATCTTCGTACGTCTCATATGGACCAATAGTAACATCCAGCTTTGAGTCCTACACAGGAAAGAAACATATGTTACTGATTCGTTTTCCTTTATTTCATAAATCTGCCTTGGAATATTGGGGTAAATTATGCTTAGTTCTCTATGAGTTTGTATTAGTAAATTTGGAATCCTGCCTGCATATATGGTGATTTACATTTGGAAACCTGTGTTTTAAAGGGTATAGGTGATAGAAGGGTAAGTCTTGGGAATTGGAAGTAATTGTATGACTAAATTAAAATTGAATGGCCAAAAATTGTGAAAACTAGAACTGAAATTTGTAAATTTTTCCATAAGTTAAGATTTTAATTTTGAAGAAAAGTGCAGTGAATGTTACTGTATGGTTAAAAATGCATACTACCCATTTGTTTGCCACTCCTCACGCTTAAGCTTACTGTATGGTTAAAAAAGCTTAAGCAATTAGGAGGTGCCAACTATAGTTTTATATTTTAAAACTCCTCACGCGCAGGCCAGACTATGGGCAAACATGCGGGTTATTAATTAGAAAGCCCCACATAGAATAAACCTGGAACATATTAAGGCCAAAGACATAATGACAGTTTTGAAAGGGAATAAAGAGAGTGATCACATGAGTTTGAACTGAGAATCTCCTGCTCTAATACGATGTTAATTTACCAATCCATCCGAAAAGCTTAAGCTGTTAAGATGTGGGTTAGTAATACATCTAATCCTACCAATCGGTGTTCCTAATCAGCACTTTATAGTTTGGTAGGTAGACATTGTATGCACTAACCAACTTCATCCAGGCAATATCTGAGTCATAGTAGTCATTTGAAAGGAAAGCATCAGCTCTGCTATGAAGAAATCTCTTCAAACTGCATAAATAGGGAAAATATAATAGATATTTGTAATTTAAATTTTTAAGCAGTATAAAATAATATATGATGCAGGACAAGACATGAGAGAATAGAGATTGAAAATAGAACTACGATAGAGAAGAACCACTAGCAAGGTAGAAATAGAACCACAATAAAGAACGAAAGGATTCTAGAGAGAGAACAAGTATATAAGAGGAGGAAACTCAATAATTTCAATATTCATTCATTAACCATTCTCTTAACTAAAATTACAAAGCTATCATCTTAATAGGAAAACCAAATAATCCAAAACAGAAAACTAAACCAAAAATGAAAATAAGGAAATTTAAAAAGGGGAAACTAGCCTAACGACATAAATCCTGTATCAAATAGAAACTGTATATTTAAATTAATTAATAATGAGATCTCCATCACAATATCTATCTAGTAACCACTCAACAGAGAAACTTAAGAACATCAATACCTAGGTGAGCTGCTCAAATCACCGGCTTTATGCAACAACTTAGCGGCCTTTGCAAGGAAAGAATTGTACTCTTCAGAGAATGGAACAATATATAGATCATTAGTCGATTGCACTAGCTTCTCTGTATCATCAAGTGTCTTATTATAAATCGAAGAATCCAGATTGAATTCGCTGTGCCTTTTGATGACATTGAAAAAGCCAGTTGCATCTTGTTTTTGGGAATCTGTTAAGCTGCTCTTCCATAGTTCAAATTCCTATTGCAAATTTATTGGTCATCCATCATACAAGTAAAACATTGTGCTTTTTAGAAATCATAAAATCAGCTCGATTATACCATTTTGTCCATATCTGGAGGATAGAAATTTGCACCGGGTGGTTTCAGCATGGGAAATGCAGCTTTGTATTCGAGACCCTTCCACCCTGTAACTGCTCTTGTGGCATCAGGAAGCAACTTTATGGCAGAATCTGCAGTTGTCAAAAATGCCTCGTTCTCATCAAGGCAAGACCTGTTGATAGAAAATCACTTGGAGTTGGAACACTTTTTTTTTCTTTCATTTGGCTGTTATAATATCAAAACTACAACTTACAACATGACAAAAGGACACATCACAGTAAAATAATAAATATTTGAGCAAATAAATAAATCACTGAATGGGAAAATTCAAATTTCTTAAAAACAAACCACAGTAACCAGTAACAAGCAGAGGAACATACTTAATAGAACTAATAAAGCTGCCTTAACTGCAATTTAGTAACTTTTGCAGCTAAAAATAACTTTTGAAGTTGCGATTAGAATTGTTGAGATATTTTGTTCATGGACCTGATATGGCGCCATAATAGCTCAAAAAGAGGTTCCCTCACCATTGGAATCAAAAATAAGTCTTTGACTTCATTCCAGCACATTGTTCAAATATAATATGTTAATGCCCCTTCAGGCCATACCAGAGAATAATCTAGAAAGACAAACCCGACAGCACCAGAAACTTTTTATAGCATGTTAATACCTGTCATATGCCTGTGTGTCTTCATGCATATAAGTTTTTAAACGCATAAATATGTCCAAGAATCTACATATGGGGGGAGACAGGCCAAAACATTCATTGGAAGATACTTCAGAAAAGATTTACCATGGACTCTTATTAATCAAATAATAGGCCCATTTTAACTTGTCTATATCTGTTGCATTCATATGCTCCTTCAACCAAGCTCTTAGATCAGGATTACTGTACCAAACCTGATTTTAAAGATTACAAGTAATTAGAAAGATGCAACCAACTGTAATTTAGGAAAGGGAAACAAAAAGATTAATCAACGCAATACATAGTGCTTATAAGGTATTGCGAAAGGAACCAATAAGTCACAACGTCAAGCCAATGTAAAACATGGAAATTGCTAAAAAGAAGAGAGGGGGAGGGGGGGGAGAGAAATTACATTCCGACTGATATTCGACCGCATGAAGAAGAAATTCAAATATGTGTTTACATAGCTATCTAACTATGCATATATGTTATACAACCTGCTGATGAAATATTTCATCCATGATTGTTGCAGCCTTAATAAGTAGTGCTAGAGCCTCCTTATCAGCTTCTGAAAACCCAGTCAACTGCAACAAATAAACAGAAAAAATCACCTCCAAAGAAAGGGAGAAAAGAAAAAAGAAACAAAATGGATTAATGGAAAAATTATCTCACATTTCCAGTAAACTTCAATAGGAAAGACAAAATGATATGGAGGATACTCCAAATGCACAAGGGGAATTATAACATCAAGATAGTTGCAAAAAAGATTTTAGAGCGTGTATCCTAAATTATAATTTTTTTCATTCTTTTATAAAAGCCAAATTCTTTCATTAGGACAAATAAAAAATGACATCCCAAATTTACCTTTTTCACTTGGCATAAAGCGGACAAAAGAGATTTAGAGTACACATCCCAAATTATCAATTCCTTTCTTTCATATTCAAAATATTTAGCCGAATTCTTTCATTAGGAAATCTTGACCCATCTAAATTTTATTTTCCTTCTCATTTCTCCCCCTCTTCATGGATCTAGAATTCTAAAGATGGGAAATATCTAATAACATAGTAATAACTAACGGAATTGAATTTACTACAAGTACAAAATCTAAGCACCTCCAATCAGAAGTACATAAGAAAACTATTATGAAAGACAAAATGAGAAGAATTCAGGGTGTAGAAGAAACTGATAGTGTTGCAGGCCGTGGATTTTTTTTTTTTTTTTTAATCATCGTTATATTATAAGATAGAGAACACCAAAACTGAAATACAGCAACAGCATAGTATATGAATAGGACAAGAAAGATAACCTCTGGATCGAGTGAAACAGGAGCATATCGACGTAGTTGGTTCTGTAGGGTTAGACAACGTGCTACATTGTTCTCTGTGTACCTTAGAAAAATAATTCAATTATGGCATAAGGAGAAATAAAAAAGGGGAAATGTCAACCTGTGTAGAACCTTTTGAAGTCCGTGAATCTTTAGGAAAATTATTCAAATATGAAATAAGTAGAAGTAGAACATGAAGAAATGTGAATCCAGAGAGCAATATAATAGCCCTCATTCTTTTTTCCCAGTTTTCCAACAACAACTTTTTTTTTCTTGGTATATTTATTTTTGCGCTTTTACACCGGAGGTCCCCAAACTTTTTGACCTTTGCACTTGGGTCCCCATTTGGAAAATATGGATGATTGGGTCCCCAAACTCACATTTTCTTAGCATTTGGGGTCCCCCTTCTTAAAATTTTTTATTTTATAATTTTGTTGTTATTGTATAGATTTGTTTTTTTTTTAATTAGACTTTTCACATTATTTTGAATATGAAATAAAAGTGAAAAATTTAAGGGATGCATATCAGAAGATGTGTGATGTTTCAGATTTATAATTATTTGGGAGGATGTTTATATTAACAGAAAGAATGGATCAGGAAACAAATTAAAGAAGATGATTCTATTTTTCTTTTCTATCTCATAAATAAAGTCATAAGATAATATCCTTATTTTACTCTCCATTTCATTACCTAAGTTATTTACCTCCATCTCTTTCCAATTTTTTTCCTCGTCGAACATAACCTTAATGAATGAGTACTTTGATAGATCTTTCATATATCCCATCATAATTATAATTGTAATATGAAAAAAGAAAAAAGAAAAAGAACATAACCATCAACGTCAAAGACAACAAGTGTTTAGGGACCTTTATGTCAAAAAAAAAAAAAGTTTTTGGAGACCCGAGGCACAAGAAAGCCATCAAATATTGAGCTCTGATGGCATTTAACAAAAATATAATATGGGGACTAACCCCTGCCAATAAACTGGGAATTTGGGACCCAGTTGTCAATTTTTGAAATGGGGACACAAGTGCCAAGAAAATGGGAGTTTAGGGACCCAAATAGCAAAGTTTGGGGAACCCCAGGTGCATAAAACCCTCAAGTTTTTTTTTTTTTTTTCGAAAAAGAAGTCAGCAATTTTAGGTTTATTAACAAAACACGAAGACACAAAAAAGATCTTAACCTTTGTCAGCTGTATTCACAGTAAATAAGATAAGCACACGCACACATTATTGATTATGGACGTGTTTGGAAGAGCTTCTTAAAAGCCGTTTTTGGCTTGCTGGCTCCGAAAGCTACTTCTAGAAGTGTTTGGATGATCTGTCAAAAGCGCTTCGACTTTTCAAAAGAACTTCCACAAAGCCACAAATGTGGCTTCCAAAGAAGACACTTCTGACTAGACTTTAAAATTTGTCCCAGAATTTCATTAGGGCACTATAAGTATAAACTTAATTCCAACACTTCTATTATTTATTAGAATATTTAAAAATTGTTTTGACCAATTAAGCTCTTTTATTCTAAACACTCTATAGCTTTTACTTCTCTCCTACTGACAAAGAAAAAGCAAAAACTCTACCAAATGGGCCCTATATATATATATATGTTGAAAGGCACGTTGAATCGCTCTTGTTGATTTTTCCTCTATTAAGGTATATATTGGAAAATCAAGTAAAGAAAGGGGGCAAAAAAGATAAATAAAACTTAAGAAAAAATTGGAAAAACAAAGATGTTCCAAGAAGAAAAAGAAAAAGAAAAAAAAAAACTTAATAAGTAAATATCAACTAAAGAAGTCATCCCTGCATGATAAGACAGAATTTGTTATAAATTTTAAATTATAAGGGATCCTTTTAATGTATATTGCCAACAAAACACAATTGCCACATAGTTGCATACCTTCTTTCAATTATGTCAAATAGCTGACCATATTTTCCATTTACATCATAGGGGACATATTCTGGATCTTCTTTTGCAAGCAAGCTTCTATATTCCTTGTAAGAGATATATTTAACTGCAGAGACTTCTATTTCCTATCATTAAATAGAAACACAGAGACACGATTAGATTCTTGTGAAGTTCAGATTCAAGAATCAGTCAGTTATCACACAAGTAATATCCAGATGAATGAGGCTTCAACACAGATATGTATAGCAGAAAAAGCAGCGTAAACTGGGTATAAGATTCAGAGAAAAAACTTATGCAGGCAAAGACATGTACAATGGAAGATGTTAAACTGGTATGGAACTAGAGAAATGAATCCTATTACTCACTCAAAATGGTACAACAGACTCATGTATTATTGCTAAAAACCATCCAAATGAGATAACTACCAGACAAAAATCTAGTATGCTCCTACTTCAAAATTAACAATGTACTTTCTACATTTCATTCTTTTCTATCAAAATGCACAAACATGATAAAGTGTATGGTTAGTAGTTTATGAAGCGCCAGGAAGGACTTTGAAACTATACAGAATGCAGAAGAACTTCTATGCGAGTGATATTTCCCAGATAGTAGAAGGACATATCCGTTACCAAACAGTTCAACCATTTAGACAAGGCAAGCACAACGTAGTATCAAATTCAAGAATAAACTGAACTCTAGAGTTATGGGACAATCTTATTCACTATAATTTTTCTCCCATGTCTCCTAGCATGAAACGATCTCTCCTTGAAGTTGAACATACAACTTTCATACAATTCTCTTGAAAAAGAGACATGGCTTGGTACTCTCCACCACCGCAATGACCTTTATCCAAAGAACTAAATAAGCTACCACCATTAGGCAACATATAAGCAATGTGGAACAGACATTTGCTACAATAATGGGAGCAGAAGCAGCTTCTCCATAGGTAAGAAAATCTAGTTAATGCGCATTCACAAAGTACAGCTTGTAAATGAACATGGTACCTTGGAGGGTTATGTGACGAGCATATATATATATATATATATATATATATATATATATATATATGTATATGTATGTATGTATAATAAAAGGAAAACACACCCACCCACCCTTGCAACGAAACTTTGATCAACTCAAAGGCCGGTAATGCAAATTACTATTTCCGTCTCAACCCTATTAATGATGAGCCTCGTGAGAAACTACAATTTTTTTTTTTTTTTTAAAAGAAATGAGAACTTCTATTGATAAAAGCAAGCTTTTATATTTAAACGAACTCATACTACCATTGTAAAACGTTTATTTGTAAACAGTCATCAAGAACTGTTTATTACATGATCTATTACTTTGTGAGATTAAAAAAAATAAATAAATAAAAGAGAAAAGCTAAAATACAATAATGAAGCATAAAAGGTCAGAAATTAATCATTAAAAATGGATTCACACCCATATGTCAATCAAAATAAAAAGTCAAGTGAATTTGAATAAATAGGATAATTAGGATTATCCTACTTACCTGAAGAGTAAATGCCTCAAGAGGGATTGGATCTAATGTTGTTACCAAATATACGTCACTGAATTCATTGTTGATGAATGTGCCGTCATTTGTGACACTACAATGAAAATGCAAAGATAATATCAGATATTAGAATAATGTTAAGCATTCAAAGTATATACTAAAAAGGCTAAACATATAGCAGCTTAAAGTATACAACTCAATTCTGGAATAGCTCTTAGTGGACAAACAATGAAACCAGACATAAATTTCTGAAGGAAGGTTTTTTTTTTCATAATGAATTCTTTTTTTTTTTTTTTTTTGATATCCAGAAGTTTAAGGAACCCACTTTGTGAGCCCAAGTTTGAAACCAGAGCCTTCCGCCAAACCCTAGAATCTTTGGAAGGCAAGAAACTATGACTTTTGTCATGTAGGTGCCCATGAGCCAGAGGTGGTTCATTATGAATTCTTAGCCAAGCACATAAGACCTTCTCCATTATGGAGCGGAAAGTAACTACAAAGCCAGAAAAGAAAATGCAGGATCAACCATTTTCCCCTTTAACATAGGATGCTAGATTTTAACCCATCTTTCACCAATTAAGATTTTTTCTTTAAAAAAAAATGACATCTTCACACTAATGCTTTGAGTTGTCATCTGGTAATGTGAAAGTTTAACCTTATCCCTTCTGAGCAATGTCCTTATATTTGTGTGACAATCCTACAGCATGTGCCTCTCCTAGGTAACGACAATCTCCTAGAAATCTAATGCCGCTATCCATTATTTGCTTAACAATTTTTTAGTAGGTATGTGCATGGTCTTTTGGGTGAGTATTTTTGTGCTACTTCTTCTTCTTAATATTATAAACCATGGACTTATCTGCAATTACATTTGCTTAGGTTTTCATATGGTAAGCATAAATTACATAACAAGAACACAGAGTCCCATCAATAGCAAGACAATCCCACCTTGCTTATTAACTAATAGCACTCCAAGCACTAACCCTTCTCTTTACGCTAATAAATCAAAACATTAACTTAAGGATCACAAGACTATATTGGAATAAGCTGATATAAGGGAACACAAAGTAAAAAGATAAATAAATAAATGAATTCATCAGCATTTACAACAATTGGAAGCTCATAGTGTGCTACATGCTAGGAAAGGAGTTACCAAAAAATGTAAAGGGAAAAAAAAAAAAAAAAAAAAAGCTTAATCAACTGACCACTCTTCAAGATAAACGAATATCTTCTCAAATGCATCCTTTGGAAGGATTACACCAAGTTCTTCTTGAAGCTCCCTCCTGAAAGTATAATATAATATTTTTCAGCGGCAAGCATTATTTAGAAGCCGAAAAATTAACAATGGAACTGTTTAAACCACCAAAATCGTATCAATAACTCATGTACAAAACTAAGAAACGACGCTAAGAAGGATAAGTGCTTAATCTAGAAACAAGTAGCATATAGGCATTCATGTGATCTAACAATGATTTGGCAAGGGAAGCGGAGATAATGAAGTACTTAATTTAGAATGTAATAGGCATTACACAGGAACTTCTATGTTAAAGAGTTAACAATCATGGAAAGAAATAAGACCTTCAAAAGAAATGAGAAACAACTAAAGACTCGTCTACACAAGGGATGAAAAAGTGAGAATAATACATATGAGCATTGAGCAATTCGATGGTAATAGTTTATTTTTCTCACCACTCTCCGCAAAAATTAAAAGACAAATGACACTAGATCTAGGCGAAATTTTCCTGACAAGATCTTGAGCTTGGATCATAAAGGAGGAAAACAAACTATAGCCAATCTATCGGCCACCGTTAGTATCAAAGGGCCTCGATGAAAACCATATAAAAAATCAGAGGAAAAAAATTAAGAAAAAATAAATCTAGATTGTGAACTTAAATTACCTTCACGAAAGTCCAAATATTGGAAAGCTGAGCGTGTAAACCTATACATTACTATTAGAGTGGGGTTTCTAGGAGAATGAGGGTGTGACTACACAAACGCATATGCATATTTATATTAATAAAAGCATCATAATTTTGTTTGAGCTTTGTACACCTTAAGAATTATCGCTTCAGTCCACAACTTTTAAAAAAACAAAAATAAGTTTTATCTTGTCATCTTATTTAACAGGTACGGGCCCATATGAAATAGAGACTAAGTTAAGGCTCTACAAGAGTAGTGACAGGCAACAATCCACCAAGAAATATGATCCAAAGCAATGACAGTTTAGAAGCAACTTAACCACAATGAATACGTTTCCAGAGACCACGCAAAGGCCACCGACCAGGTGAAGTGCATAACTAATGCAAGAGGGCCAAATATTTAAAGAAAATGATTTAAAATAGACTTTGTAAGCTGTAGAACATAAAGGTTGTTCCACCAGTTTATAGTCAACCATTCATTTTACACCCTAAACCCAAAAGCCTACAGAATATAGCATGATTAAGCAAGTAAGGTCTATAACACAACCAAAATAACCCTTGAACCAAATTTTCTCACAATATGTACATATATACAACACAGAAAACAAAACTCCATTGTTGGTGCTTAGCTCAAAGCTCTACAAGAACATTAAAACCAAATACAATAGAACATTAGAGTTACCTAGCCGTTATAAGCGACGAGTCGCCGGTGGATATGTGGCCGGCGCTGGAGATATCCCAAAATCCTGGCCATGAATCCTTGCAGTCAGCGCGCCGTTGGAGAAGCAATTCTTGCGTATTCTCGGCGTAAATCCACACATGAACTGCTCGATGGTAATCCCCATCTCGATGCACATCTCCTCTATACAACACGCCAAATTATCTCATGGATTCAGATTATCAAAAAGGCTTTAGAATCTTTCTTGTTTTCTTTTTTTTTGTTTTGTATTTATTTCTCTCTTGGAGTAACAAAATCCATGATAGTATTCAAAATGAATCCCGGATCAGTTACAATAACATTGCAAAGTTCAATTCTCGAAGTTGACTATAGAAAGAAAGAAACGAAGATTATGTCCTGTTTGTTTGCCGAGAAAGAAAATCAGAGAAAAAACAACAGGAGAAGAGGAAAAAAAAATGGGTAAAGGATGGCTTGCCTGGGTTTGGAAATACCAGTCTTTTGACCGGTTTGAGTGAGGACGTCGAGGTGTTCCTCTTGCAAGCCAGCATCGCCCACCGCCATTGCTCCGTCTCTAAGCTAAGTCTAAACATATATTGTTTTTTTATGAATAAATAGGAAGTAGGAATTTTTTAAAATTCTTATTCCCTGCCAGGTAGAAGAAGCAAGACTTTTGCCACCAGTGTCGCCACCAATGATAGAATCTGTCCCAGCAAAAAGCTCCCAATTTTATTTATTTATTATTTATTTTTTAAAAATTTCTCATGTATTCACTTATTAAGTCCCGTCCATTTCACGTATTCGAATTTAAAATTCGAGTTTTGTTATAATAAAAAAATTTTAAAAACAGTCGGATCTAATTTTTTTATTATAATAAGAGGATGTTTGGTACTTAGATTCGTTCTCTGATTCGAATCATAGTTCGTAGTTCACTACAGTATTTTCTTTCACAAAAAATACACGTAATTCGAAAATAATTCTAATTACATAGTTCTAATCCATGAACCAAACATCTCCTAAAAAACTTTTACATAAAGTCACATCTCAGCTCGAATCATCGAACTAAACAGTCTTTTAAAACAACAGTATTCTCTACTTATCGACCGTCAAATCTGTTTTACTTTTTAATCTAATTTAATTTTTAATTAGATTTAATACAAATATAATAAGTAATAAACAAAAAATACCAATATTTAAAAAAAACACAGAAAAAATCTCTTATATTTTTAAAGAATATTCTTTTATTAATGTTTAATAAAGCTTGTTTTTTTCATGCCAAAGCACTATTGAGAAAATTTAAAAAAATAATCCCTCAGCTTTAACTAAATCTAATATCTACTCTTGTGTTTTTAATAATTCAAAAAATATCCTTTACGTTTTTAATTTATTCAAAAATTATTCCCTACGTACGTTTTTTAAAAAAGTAAAAAAGTAACCTTTTAATTGATCATAATTTTTAAAGTGCCAAAAATATTCTCAAGATGTGCTATTTAGAAATTATTTTAGACATTAAATATATAAAACTTTTAAATATAAATTTTAAAACTAAATACAATCAAGAAAACAAAAGAGTCAACATGTTTGGATGACTGCAGAATAGTGTTAAGCGTAGGGATGGAAGAGATTAAACAAGTTCAAATCCACTAATTGTGTATCAATAATGAGAGCGCAAGATACTGTGTAAAACTAGATCAATTTGATTGATTTTGGATTTTCTTCAAAAACGCAATTTATTTTATTAAAAATTTTACCTATTTTCTTTAAATTTAGTTTTTTTACTTATTAATTTTTAAAATAATGTTTGAATATTTACCATTAAGGTTTTTTACGTCATTTTCAACAATTTGACCACTTAAAGGGTTATATTTGACTTCTTTTAAAAAAACTTAGGGTATAATTTGAGATAATTTAAAAATAGAAGGGATACTTTTTATATTATCAAAAATATAGGCGTAAGTATTGGATTTACTTAAAACTGAGGGTGTTTCTTCCGTGAGTTTGAACCATTGCTCAATCCTTGCTGCTACATTCGTGAAATTTATGCTATGTTTGGTAGGAAATAAAGAAAATAGGATAGAAAAAAATACAGAAGTGATAAAAAATAGTAATGATGGAAAGAAAATTGATTTTTTTTTATGTTGTTTGGTATGAGAAGATGGAAAGAAAATGAGTTTACCTTCACTTGTTTGGTATTGAAAGTTAAATTGAGAGGAAAAAAAATTTACTTGTAAATTACTTTTATACCCTTACATTTTTTGTTTGGATGTTGATGGAGAAAATTGTAGTTTAGTAACTTTGCTCACTTTAATTACTTGTTCCCATTTTCCATCTCAATTTCTACCCACTTGTGGAAAGAAGAAAAATAGTGGGACCCATATGTATTATTTTCCACTCAATTTTCTCTTCATTTCTCTTTTCTCTCCTACCAAACAACTTACATTTCCATTTTCTCTCTTAAAATCTCTCCACCTTCTTCCTTCCTTCTACTTTTTTTTACTACCAAACATACTCTTAAGGGCTGTTCGGTAGCCCCATTTTTGAGTTAAAAACTCAAAAAAAGTAACTCGAGTTACAACTTTATTCGAGTTCATATTCTTTTAAGTTTGAACTCGAGTTTGGGACTAAAACTCGAGTTCAAGTTTTCCCTTCAACTCGAACTCAAATTAATGAATAATATTTTTTCTATTCTTAAAAATGCTATAACTTTTTCGTTTTAATTCTGATTGAGATGATTTTTTTTCTATGCGTTGACAACGAAAAGACGAATAAAACCCCACCCATATACCCTATTAAAATTTTTCATCAGCATTGAGTTTTTATACAAATTCAAGTTTTGACTCACTTAAACACAAACTCGAAAAGATTCTTATCTCAAACCATAACTCAAATGTACACAACCAAACACTAACTCAAGTTACAACTTTAACTCAAGTTATAACTCAAACAAACTCAACTCAAAATCTACACTCAAGTCACTTAACTCAAAAATGACAAAAGAACAGCCCCAAGTTTATGTTCAAACCTATAAATCAAACGAGTCTTAAATTTAAGGTCTCTTTTTTTTCATAACTTAGAGCATGTTTCTTTCACGCATTTGAACCCGTAATTTTGAGTCTGCTACACAACTTTTATCTCACAAAAAATTAAATAAAAGAAATCTCGCCAATGGTTTTCTCATAAAATTTGCATTTATAATTAAAATCACTAAGTTAAACGAATGAACCGACGGGTTATTAAATTTTTTGCTGTAGTGTTTTCTCTTATAAAAATTTAAATTTGACTTTATTATTATAATATTTTGTCTCACAGAAATTCACATTTTAACTCAAATTTTCAAACAAAATTGTAAAAATAACATATAAAGTTATTTTAGTCCAAATACATTGGGAAAAAAATTAAAAAAGAAAAGTCATTTAGAAAATTGCCATTGTAAAACGGTGAATTGTCTAGGTATTTTTTTAAAGTGTAAGAGAATAAAAGATTATTATCTTAGTTAGAACTTAATTCTTCATAATTCTGATTTCATTTTTTTTTTTTTTGGTTTTTTCGAGGAAACGAATTTTGATTTTTAGTTGTTTAAGGATATGATAATAAGGATTGGACAAACCACCCGTGTTGATTGTTGGTGTTAATAGCTTTTGGGGGAGGGGATTTGACTAGAAGATATGATTAATAATGGACGTGTTTGGAATTCGATCAAAAATAATTTTATTTTTTGTATAAAAATAAAAATGAAAATGTTTTTAATCTTAGACATAAATTATTTTTAAAAATGCATTTGGTAGTTTTATCAAGATATTATTTTCAATATAAAAAGCTCATTAATGTCTTTATCTCTTTCTCTCTGCTCGAGAGAGGAAAAAATGAAAAACGACTAAAAGTCATTTTTCATTTCTCTTTCATTTTACACTAAACCAAAAAATCGTTTTATTTCAGTTTTTTGTCTTTATTACGTCAAACGTCGTTTTGAAAACGTTTTCATTTTTTCTTTTCCAAAAAACGTGAAAAATAAAAACGGTATCAATTTCAAACACGGCCAATTTGATTCTCAATAAATATGTATCTATAGAAAATTGGGTGGAATAGTTCGTAGTGATTCTCAACAAATATGTATAGAGAGTAAATTAGGTGGTATGTATGGATTTATGTCTTTTTTTTTTATAATTGGATTTATGTCATGTTAATTATTTTCTTTATTCTTTACTTTGAGTAGACATTAATCTCGTTTATTTTAGATCCCTCTTCTCCTTTCTCAATAAGTCTGCCCTTCTCTCTCTTTATAACGATCCGACGTAATCGTTATTTAAATTGTTTAAACACGACCTTAACTTAATTACCTAAATTTACAAACATTTTTTTATTAAGAAAAACACTCACTTAAACAGTCAGATTGGATTAACATATAACTTGAAAACATTTAATCAATATCAAAAGCTTATGTAATAAAATATACTTATAAATATTCTTCCTTTGAAGGTTAAAAGCTTTTGTTCATAGTATAAATACTCAGTGGAAAACTTTCTTTCTAGAAAACGTATAATTAAAAACTTATAAAAATTGTGAGTTAAGTTGGCAGTTGGATCATTCTTAGGACACCTAAGATACATGGTTTGCTTATTTTGAAACGTAAAGTACTTAGAGTCAGTGAAGGATTTAAGTATAACTTAGTGGGGACTACCGCTCTCACTCAAATTTTTTTTAAAAAATATCACCTTTAAAAATTTAAAAATTTTATACTTAAGCTTCTACTGAAATAATATATACCCCAACTAAAATAAAATATATTTTCTTATATGCCCCCACTAAGAATATTTGTTAAAAAAAATTTAGTGTACACCCTCACTCCCTCACTAAAGTGAAATGTTGACTCCGCCACTGCTTAGAGTACTTGAAATCTCATCACTAGGATTGTTGTCTATTTAATCCTAACTTAGAGCACACGTTACTTAACATAAATTATTTATTATCAATACATAAAATTGAAGAACTTAGGGATTGTTCTTTTGTCCAAAAAACTCAAAAAAAGACAACTCGAGTTCCAACTTTATTCAAGTTCATGTTCTTTTAAGTTTTAACTTTATTCAACTTTACTCAACTTTATTCAAGTTACAACTTCAACTCAAGTTATAACTCAAATTCAACTCAAAAATTACACTCAAATTACACTCTAAAAGAATAACCCTTTAAAATGTTGTGTTAGTATCTATGATCTCCTTCTTCACCGTTCGTCATGCCGCTTACCCAACTCATCCTATAATGTCAATACTAATTAACTTCTTACTTACAACATAAACATGATTCTAAACATAGACATAAACATAAACTCCACATAATATTATACACAAACACTGAGATCATAACATAAACTTATCAAGATCTTCCCATTAAGTTAAGAAGTTGGTAATCCTCTCCATAAGTTGCGAGTATAATATGACACTCTTAACTAGCGTGTCTTATTCATTTCATTTATTTTTTGTGCGTCTGCATTATGACAACCCTACACGAGACTAAATTAATTAAACAACACATTTTAAAATATTTAAAGCAAATAACAGTTTATTAGGTAAATATTTTATTTACAATTAATAAAAAGATTTTTTTTTAGGTAACTTTTTTTTACGATTATAAAAAGATTTTTTTTATGTAAATAAAAATTGTTTTACCAGTAAAAAATGAAATATTTAGAACTCATTTATTTCATGCATTTAAATTTATAATTTTGATTCTATTACATTATTTTTTCTTATAAAAATTTAAAATTTAAATACTAAAATCAAGAATACTAATTTAAACGAATAAATAAATATGCCATTAAACGAGATTATAGGTCGGCCCGGCCCATCTTGGCGCATCCACTTTGCCCGCTCCGCACTCGCATAATCGACTCGGTCTCTGTGAGCGAGTCAAAAACCCCGAAAAGAAAAGTCAAGTTGTTGAAACGCAAGCCATTTGGATTCCACATCCGACACCCCTCCTCTTTCGATTCTCAGCTTGTATGTAATTCTCTCCCTCTCTCTTTCTCTAATCTCTCATTTCCTTGTCTCGTTTTCGTGATTTTCTGAATTGAGTTTCCAATTAGGGTTTTTGATTGATCGAAATCTTTGAATAATTCTTCAGGGATTGAATTGATTCCGATCGTAAAGAAGAAGAAGACGAAGAAGTAGAAGGTTTACAGAGATGTGGGCTGCTTCGTGCCTGGCATCGTGCTGCGCGGCTTGCGCGTGCGACGCGTGTCGGACGGTGGTGTCGGGGATCAGCCGCCGCTCCGCCAGGATCGCCTACTGCGGCCTCTTCGCTCTCTCTCTCATCGTCTCTTGGATTCTTCGCGAGGTCGCCGCTCCTCTAATGGAGAAGCTCCCCTGTATGTGATAAAGTTTAGCCCTCCCTTTGTTTGATGAATGAATTTATCTATATGATTATGGCTCTTTTAGATTTTATTTTTTATTTTTCCTTGTTCGTGGAATATCGGAGTCCAATAGTAATTCTTAGCAAACTTGTCAAGAAAAGAAAATTTGGTCTTTCGCTGGTCATGATTCTTTGGAGTGATAATAACAAAAATCATACGTGTTTTTAGCGAATCACGATTTGTAAAACATAACGGATAACTTGAATACGATTCGTAAAATATAAGGAATATTTGCTGAAAATGTAGTGTGGAACGTACCATTTCAATGAAATTCAGAGAGGAATGCGGGGGGGTTGTTTGTTATTGTTATTAACCCTTCTTGGGACGATATTCTCTTGACTTCTTTAGTTTGAATTATCGTGCAATGCGTATTGTCATGGGAAACTATTTTCTGATTTTAATCATTCGATTTAGAATCAGATATTTGGTTGAATAAAATTGTGATATTGACTTTGTGATGTGGACAAGTTGGCGAAGGAAGAAGACTGGGTTTACTTTGAATTTGCTTATAATTTATCACTAGATTTCAGAGAACTTAAAAACAGTACACTATTTCTTATTGCATTGACACGCAGCTGATATAAGATTAGCCGATGAGTTTTTGAATATGCTGCCTTTTTTTTTTTGAAAAGGAAATATGCTGCCTTTTATTTTCTATTATTTTGTTTTTCGTAATTATATCTCGGTGGTGTTTTGTCGATGCAGGGATCAACAATTTCCATCACACACCTAGTAGAGAATGGTTTGAAACAGATGCTGTGCTGCGTGTTAGCTTGGGGAATTTTCTCTTCTTCACTATCTTAGCAATTTTAATGGTCGGTGTAAAGAATCAGAGAGATCCCCGTGATGGTTTGCACCACGGTGGATGGATGATGAAAATTATTTGCTGGTGCCTTCTGGTCATCTTTATGTTTTTCCTACCAAATGAGATTATTAACTTCTATGGTAAGCATTTTTTTTCCCTTTTCGGGGTTTCTTGTTTTACTTTTTGCTAACTTTCTGACGAAAACCCTAGCTCTGGGAGTACAAATCGAATAAGGAAACAGAGATAAGGTTTCTTGAATCAGAAATTGAAAAAAAAAAATTTGTTACAAGTTTGTTAGGATTTGGAGAGTCTGATCCACTCCCTATCAGCTTAGCCGAATTGTTACTACTAATCCTCTTCCCAACTAACTGACTCCTCTATTTATACTTTATTATTGTCTCTAACTACTCTACACACATAATAGCACCACAAATGAGCACAATCTTTGCAGTTAACCTTCTAAATAACCCCCAACTGACTTGTAACACAGCTAACTAACCTAACCAACCCGAGTCTTATTATTACCTCTGCCAAAAAAAAAAAAAAAAACTTGCCCTCAAGGTGGAAGCCAAGAAATTGCAGCTAAAGGACATCACTTTCTTTCCATCTGTATTCTGAGTCATCCAACATTGGCCTTACCCATACCAGGATTTCCTTGTAAGCTCGCCTTTTCTTTTCCCAACTTAAACCTCATGGTCGTTGTCTTCCAATTGACAAGCATTTTCCACAAACTTGCCAACAACTGCACACCCAATGTGACATCCCAATTACTTAATTTAATCAACAAAACATCTACAATGGTTAAAGATTGCAAGGACAATACCACTCTTCGAAAAAAAAATTTCTCCTCTAACCGAGAGCGTGGATCCTACTAAAGAAGTTTTTACATATAACAGGAACTTTAACCAAAAAATAAAAAACCTAAAAAACTGGAGTTTTTCTTCCAAATTCTTTGAATTTCTACTTTAAGGTGTGAAAACACCAGCAATTGTATCCCAAAATTCTGTTGCAATTATGAGGATGCATTGATCTTAGTAATCAATTGCAAGGCAATAAACTTTGGGTGCGGAGTTTAAATAAATTATCATCTTGTAGGTGTTCAATTAGCAACAAAACTTGCGTTGTTTTTTTCATGTAATTGGAGGGTGAAACCTACTTCTAAAATGATTGGTGAATGTTGTTGGCTGCTTTATTAATTTTTGTGATATTCTCTTGTTGTTTTTCTGTTGATAGTATTTCTTCTTATTCAAAGAAATGAGTTAAGTTGTACTTTGCCAGCATGGCTGGAGAATTATGCACTTGCTAATACGATTTGTGTGCATTTTGAGACCAGCTAGAATACACATAACTAAATCAACCAGTTTTGAAAGTTTCTTTTTTGAGTTGGAACAATCAAAAGGTAGATCAAAGGAAAATAGTTTCAGGTGGTATAGTGTTCGTAATTTAATGTGCACTGTTGATCTACATGTGGGTTGGCCTTCTATTTCTGTCTTCCTTTCAGACTGCTTCAATGTACTCCATGGGTGCAGAAATAGCTTGCTGGTCTGCTTTTCATTTTCATGATTTCTTTTTCTTTTTTTTTTTTTTTTTTTTTTTTTTTAAGGAGATTTCTTTTTCTATTAAGAATCATATTTTACTTGGGTTCTTTTTGGTTCTCTCTTCTTATCGTTCAATCCCATAATATCTTATACTAGCACTTTCACATTGAAAAAGTCTTGAGAGTTTACATCTTGAGTTTGTGACTTGAGCTTGTATTTTTTCATTCTAAAATATAAATTCGAGAGCTGATCAAAACTGTAAAACACTTTGCTTTTTTTTTCCTTTTGTTCATTTAGTGTGTATAGTAGCATAAGGTAGAGCTTAGTCAAATAGGGCCTACCTTTTCTAGGCTTTTCTCTTGTGATTTTTATACCGTTAGAGATGACCAACTCTGTTTTCTGACTGTAGAGAGGAGTATATGAGATTTTGAGATATTAAACTCTTTGGTTTATATTTTGAAGCTGACGTGTCTATTGTCTTTTTCCTTTTCACAGAGACCAGTTCAAAGTTTGGCTCTGGATTGTTCCTTCTTGTTCAAGTTGTTCTTTTGTTGGATTTTGTACACAGATGGAATGACACATGGGTTGGCTATGATGAGCAATTCTGGTTAGTTTAGACTTTAGGTTTCATTATAGTATTGTAGCATACTAGCTTCTCTTATCTATTACTTCCTATACAACTTAATTTTTCATTATTTTTATTTTGTTATTCAATTTATGCAGGTACATTGCTCTATTTGTAGTCTCACTTTTTTGTTATGGGGCCACCTTTGTCTTCTCTGGCCTTCTCTTCCACTGGTTCACACCATCTGGACACGACTGTGGACTCAACACGTTCTTCATTGTTATGACTCTAATTTCTGTTTTCGTCTCTGCTGTAGTCGCGCTGCACCCTACTGTAAGTTTATAGATTTACTTTTTTTTTTCCCTTTTTTTTTGGATAAAACCAACTAATGCCACGCTTGTTGTGCACATTAATATTGTTAGGAATTACTAATTAGGTTGTGTAATGTAATCATGATTAATTTATGGTGTTAGCATTGCTGACTTAGTTATCTCGTGGATTACTGTTCTTGTTTCTATGACACTTGTCCCTGCGAGCTTATTGTGCTGCAGTTTCTTGGACTTTGTATACCCGTGATTGTGGTGTTAGCATCTCTAACTTTGATAATTTTGTGGACTGACTTGGTTACTTGTTGACTTGTGTGATAGTTCGAGTGTATCAATGTGGGCGATAACACTAATATTTCTTCTGCTGACCTGATAAAGAGCTTTCAATCAATTTGTCTTTTGTCTTGTTCCCAATATAGCGGTCATCTCAATAAGTATGATGTTCCCTGCCTCGTACAATTACCGTCCTGTGTTTTTGGTTAAAACATGAATTGCAAGAGTCATGATATTTTTCTCCCCTAGTAGAGCAGTTGTACGCCCCTTTTGGTTAAAACATGAAATCTTATCCTTTTCATTCGCTAATCTATCCTTCTCTCTTGTCACCTCACATTAATTATAATGTTTATAACTGAGTGACTTCATCGTTTATTAAGGTACTGGGATGTTCTGCAGTACAATTACCATAACTGTTTAATTTTTCTTTCTTGACTCGGCTGCCATTTTGATCCAAAATAGGTAAGCGGTAGCATTTTGCCAGCGTCCATCATATCTCTGTACTGCACATACCTCTGCTACAGTGCACTTGCCAGCGAACCTAGGGAATACGAGTGCAATGGTCTCCACAAGCACTCAAAAGCTGTTTCTACTGGGACACTTACTCTTGGTCTGCTTACCACTGTTCTATCTGTTGTATATTCAGCCGTACGTGCAGGGTCTTCCACAACTCTTCTTTCTCCACCAAGCTCACCTCGTGCTGGTAAGTTTTGACAGATATGTTAAGTCATTTGGTTAGTTGATCCGGCAATTTGTTTGCAACTATGCAAGAATGTGTGTGGCATCTCCCTTTTTCTTGGTTTCAAGTAATGAGGGGGTTTTATCTGAGAATTTGATGGGTATTATTTCTTTCTTTTCTTTTTTGTTTTTTTTTTTCCATTTGTTTTGTACTATAGACATTTACAGGACATCTTGCTCTAGCTTCTCAGTCTTTTATCATGTTGATTTTATTCATTTTCTTGTAATATTATTGTTTCTTTTCAAAAGACCATTTAAGCATGTGATCCCCTTATGCTAGTTATTTCTCTGGATTTTTATTTTATTTTATTGAACTAAAAAAAGTATTTTAAGGAGAGTATTGCTTTTAATTATTTTATTTTATGTCACTGGCCCCGCAGATTATTCTACTAATTAGAATAACTACCAACAGTCATGATGGAGCATAATAATTATTACTTGTGGTAATTATTGATGTGGCAGTGTGGTACAAAAGAAAATAATTAAAACCAGTGTTATTTATAAATTACTTCTTTATTAGTGTTATAAAAAATAAGCAGCCCTCATTCTTTTCCCACTCTCTGCTGATGCAAACTATGTCTTCCTTTTATGTGCTTGAGAAAATTTTGAAGAGGTAATAAATGTGAATATTCCACATTTTGTTATACATGAACAGTTCTGCATCAGAATTTGACATTCTGTTTTTTCCTGGTGAAGGTGCTGGGAAGCCTCTGCTTCCATTGGACAAGGTAGAAGAGCATGAGGAGAAGGAGAAGGCAAAGCCAGTAACGTACTCTTACTCATTTTTCCATCTTATCTTCTCTCTGGCTAGCATGTATTCAGCAATGCTTCTGACTGGGTGGTCTACATCGGTTGGGGAGAGCGGGAGGTTGGTCGACGTTGGCTGGCCATCCGTGTGGGTTAGGATCGTAACTGGTTGGGCAACTGCAGCGCTGTACATCTGGTCTCTTGCTGCTCCTATTCTGTTCCCGGAAAGGGAATTCTAAACTCCCCCTCACCGAATAAACAACCAAGGTTTCGGTTAAAGATTGTCTTAGACTTTGTAAAAACATGCCTGTGTGTACTTAAAACAAGTTGCGAAAGAAAAAAAATGGCTATAAACTTTCGTGTAAATAGAATGGTTGTGCTCTTAAGAAGTTGTGTCTAGAATCTTGACATACATTACAATGAACCGTGTATATCCGGCAAAAGTAATCTTTGTTGAAGTACCGACTGCGGTTATGCTTATTAAGTCGATTGATATTACTAGCAACTTGTTTCTGGTATAGTATATAGCTCAACTGCATTTGAATTGGTGGTTTCAGTCTTATGCTATGTTTGGTAGGAAGGAAAGAAAATAGGATAGAAAAGAAATATAGAAGTGATGGAAAATATCAATGATAGAAAGGAAATTGATTTTCTTTTATGTTGTTTGGTATGAGAAGATAGAAAGAAAATGAGCTTATCTTCACTTATTTGGTATTGAAAGTTAAATTGGGAGGAAAGAAAAAATCTTACTCGTAAATTACTTTTATACCTTTAAATTTTTTGTCTGGATGTTGATGGAGAAAATGGTAGTTTAGTAACTTTGCTCACTTTAATGAGTTGTTCCCATTTTTCATTTCATTTTCTGCCTACTTGTGGAAAGAAAAAAAATAGTGGGACTCACATATATTATTTTTCACTCCATTTTTTCTTCCTTTCTCTTTTCTCTCTTACCAAACAACTTATATTTTCATTTTTCCTCTCAAAATCCCTCCACCTTCTTCCTTCCTTCTACTTTTCTTTCCTACCAAACACTCTTAAACTTGCGAGAGCTCATAGCTCTTATGGATTTCATGTGATCTAGTTTCTTCCTAGCATTAATTTCCAATATCATTTCAAAAAGAGAGAAAAAAATTCCAAATAAAGACACCGAGTGTCTTTTTAGGCAAAGCATTTATTTTGTAAATGCCTCGAGAGCTATAATCTAGTTCATCATTCCTTTGGAATTTTAAAAAGACTATCTCATCCCCTAAATTATGTACTTTTGTTTAAAATACCATGTTCATCCTCAACATTAAGTGACATTATATATAATTTCATAAATATCCCTTAAGTTGTTAATTTTAAGTTGTCCTTGAGCTAAAAGATTGGAAGACAAGTTGATACAAAATAAAAATAAGGGGCATTTGTTAAATTGCATAATTTAAGGAGTGTTTTAAACCACTTGTATAGTTCAGAGGCTGAATTGAACTCTTTGCAAAATTCAAGTGGTATGTCGAATTAGAGTACATCATACAATGACATTTTTGAAATTACCATGGTCATCCTCAACATTAAGTGACATTATATATAATTTCATAAATATCCCTTAAGTTGTTAATTTTAAATTAAGTTGTCCTCTGAGCTAAAAGATTGGGAGACAAGTTGATACAAAATAAAAATAAGGGGCATTTGTTAAATTACATAATTTAAGGAGTGTTTTTGGTTTATGGTTTAAATCAGTGATTTTAATTATGAATTCAAACGCGTGAATTGAATGGCCTCTAATTCCACCTAAAACGACAAATGCACAGATGTTTAATATAAATTTCTCGAAGTGTTGTAGGATTCCTTCATTTCATTGCCCTAAAGTTAATAGTTTTGACCCCCCATGTGTGTGTAAACGACCCAAATTTTCGCTTCCTATTTTATTTTGATTTATGTCTTCTTTTCGGCATGTCATCAATTTATTTCAATACGAATGAATCAAGTAATTCAGCTATTTATCTAGTAAACTATCGATTTGGGGATATAACATAAATTGCGAGCTTTTGTTTAATAAAGAAGTGTACAATGCAGACATCCATCATAATTCATCAAACTTTATAATACAAGTCCTTAACGCGCACCCTGCGCGTGATTCATTTAAAATAACGATTATGTAAATTATTTTTTTAAAAGAAAAAAATAAGATTATGTAAATTATTTTTTTAAAAGAAAAAAATAAGATTATGTAATTTAAAAAAAATAGTTTACATAATCGTTAGTTTAAATGAATCACGCGCACTCCGCACGTTAAATTATTGAAAAAAAAGTGAAAAAAAAAGGACATAAAAGAAATGAAGATAAAAGTGAGAAAAAAATTTAAAGCAAAAGACACGTGAAAAAGTTTTTAACTAATTTGGTTGCGTTTTAAATTAGTTTTATTTTTTTTAATTTTTTTTATACAAAATTTATGAACAATTTATAAACATTTTTTTATGTTTTCAATTTTTTTACTCTCATTGTATAAACAATTTATTTATTTTTATCTCTTTTTTTTTCAGCGAATGCTACGTTGATGCGTGCCCACTTACTTTGCTGTGTTTTAAACTAATTCTATTTTGTTTTGTTTAATTTTATTATTTAATAAGGTGTGATTTTATTTTTTTTAGTGTATTTTTGTTTAATTTTAGTTTTATCCGATTATTTATAACATTTTATCTGAATAGTATCAAAAATTTAGTGCAAAATGACGTTAAAATGGACAAAATCGAACTACAAATCACTATAAAATAAATAAATGAATATAACAAGTAATAATAATTAAAAAATAAAATCGGGACATTTTTTCTGGCCATCAGATCGAAACCATTATGGCTGATATTGGCGCATGAGGAACACAAGTGGAGAGAGGCGCATCTAACATGAGGGAAGAAGACAATCGCGGCATCTTTGTTGCAGGTGAGCCCCGTCATGTTTTTCGTTCGGCCAATGAGGAGGCGAAACATGGCATCGTTGTCGGGCACTAATGGGATGCCTTGGATTCCATGGGCCGTGTTTACATGAGCACGGGTTTTTTCCTCGAATAATATTCTGACACATGACCTCGTTTTTGAGCGGATGAATTGTAACATGCTACTTTAGATGCACACCAATCACGGTTTGACATGTGGCAACAGAGAAGCAACATACCGAATCCCTTTCTTTATTAGGAAAAAAAACGTTTTTTGGGGTTAATTGTGGGGGGAGAAACTGATAAAACTCCCCCCCGCCCCCTAAAAAAACTCTCTTCTTGAGGGGAGAAACTAACGAAACTTCTCGTCCCTCTTAAAAAACTCTTTCTTCTTTAGTAAATGGGTATAGATTCACAAATGTTGAGGTGCTCCACAACCCCCACACCACACTCTAATAGTGGGCCCCACCCCTAGCTTCACTCTTATGAGCTATACTTTGGTGAGTCGGTGGGCAGAGATGACATTATTTCCTACGTGAACAGGGCCTCACAAAGACTCACCCCAAAAAAGGAAGGAATAAGGGATATCAATTAAGGATGAAGGCGAGGATGGAGACCAAAAATGTGGATGAAAATCATTCTCTGTCTCTAATCTCACCTCTCTTTAAGTAATAAGCGTTGATCGAGATAGGGATACAGATGGTTACGAGGACCGATGATGGGGATGGAAATCATTTTCTGTCTCTACCCCGCTTTGTTATCCGCCCTATAGGCGATGAAGGAATTCAATGTTATAAGTATGAAATGACTAATTAACCAATTTTAGGAAATAGTAAATAGAAAAAGTAAGGCTAAATACTGGCACAACCTATTTTGCACCATTAATAAATGTTTGCAGAGTAATTTATTAAATAATTTGTATTATACCCGGTAACCCTAATGGCTATGTGCCATGCATATTTCACATCAAATCAATATACGTACATATGATCATATATTTCATTTATTTAGCACAAAAAGAGCTAATAAAACGTTAATGAGTATGATTATTAGGTAAAACGACATAGAATAGGGTGAGATGAGACTTAAATTTGAGAGGACATGAGTTCGATTATACATAGTATTGTAAATAAAAAAACAAAAGCTCGTGGATGGGGTTATTGAGCCTTTACCCCACCTAAGGTGGTTCTTTTTTTTTTTTTTTTTTTTGTGGGTTGAGTGAATCATGCCCTAACTAGGGTTGATTGCATTATCTAGCTTAGATTGATTTTAATTGAATAACTATATTCCAACTCATTTTTAATTTGTTACTAGTAACTTGATTTAATACTTACTTATGACAAAGGCAATTCAATAAGCAAAATGATTGGAAATAAAGCTAGCTTGCACCACAATACCAAAAAAAAAAGGTCAAATGGAATTGCGAAGATTGCTAAAGGGATAATTTATATGCAGTAATTGCAGTAAATAGTACACGTTTGATAAATTTTTTTAAGTAAATAATATATTTTTGAAACGATGAAGTAAATATTATATTAGCCATTAAATAAATTAAGTAAAAAATGTATCTGCGTTGAATAAATAATCCTACTTCAATTGTTTTAAAAATATATTATTTACTTTATAAACATTTATGTCTTTTTCCTCTTTATCCTTTTAATAATATATTCATTAGTTTGATAAATTTAACGAACATATGTAAAGTTATGAGGAGATTGTTTCCACATTTTATAATATTCCAATCATTTTAGATGTCTTTAAGTAGGTTATTCAATGTAATCATGTTTTTAATTTGAGAAAGTCCGCTCAATCTCTCTAAAGAGTTCAATTTATGATTCCCACAATAAGCACCAAGAAATCAATTTTTGTAAGAGAGTTTCTCATTATAGTTATATTTTTATTGTTTAGTCAATCTTTTTTAATTTAAGGAAATTACCATTTACACCTCTCAAAGGAAAAAAAGGACGGAGAGATTAGAATTATTTTTGATTTACGTGTATTTTTTATGAGAGAAAATATTATAATGAATCATGAACCATGATTCAAATCATGGTTTAAATTCTCCAACCAAACGTCCCCTTAATAGGTAAAAATTGGCCTTCTCTGTAGGGCCGTCTACAGGAGAAAATTTCCACCAAAGTGTTTCAAACTTGAATCACGTGCACAACGCATCACGTGATTAGAATTATTTTTAATTTACGCGTATTTTTTATGAGAGAAAATACTGTAATGAATCATGAATCGTGATTCAAATCATGATTTAAATTCTGTAACCAAACGTCCCCTTAGTAGGTAAAAATTGGCCTTCTTTGTAGGGCCGTCTACAGGAGAAAATTTCCACCAAAGTGTTTCAAACTTGAATCACGTGCACAACGCATGCGAGTCCTTACTCATCATATAAAAAGAAATCCAAAAACTGACGTTTTCTCTCTTTCTCTCTCTCTCTCTCTTCTGTCTTCTGTGTTTGTTTGTCTTTCCTTTCCTTCCCTTTCCTTCCCTTTCCTTTTCTCCCCCAAAACTTTGGTTCTGGTCTTCTAGGGTTCTCTTCCAGGATTTCCCCGTTAAAACGTCGCCGTTTCGCTCCCTCATTCGTCTTTTAGTTGTCGGCCGAGATGAAGCTCACCGTCAAGACTCTCAAAGGCCGTCACTTCGAAATCAGGGTTCAGCCAGCCGACACAGTCAGTATCTTCCTCCGTTTATTTTCATTTTATTTATTTATCCTTTTCATTTTCATCTGGAGCTTTGTTTTTGTTGTTTGAATCTGTCGGACTAAATGAAGAAAATCGGGTTCATTTTGAAAATGAGTGATTTTTTTTTTCTTATAGTTTAGGTTGTATTTGAGTTTTTTTTTTTTTTGGATTTGTTTTCCGTTGTAGAAATTAGTGAGAATTTATTATGTTTTGCTCAATTTCAAATTGTCTCTCTTCAAAAGCATTGATTTTTTTCTACTTTTTCTGTTTTTTCATTTTTGTTAAATCTACATCTATTTTATTCGTGTCAGAATAAGTAAAAAAAGGATTTCCATATTGATTCGTAATTGGGTTTAAAGTAATTGTTCATGTTCTTGAATGGAAAGATGTTTTATGAAGCAGTGTTTTGACCTTTTTTTAAAACATATAAATATATGTTCACACACTCATACATACGTATATATGTGTTTGTGTGTGTGTGTGTGTGTGTGTGTGTGTATAAACACAAACACACTAAATGTTATCGCATGAAAAGTAGTTGTACAAACACAAATGTATGTGTGTGTACAAGTATATATATATATATATATGTACATATATAAGTACACATATATGTACACGTAGATTTGTGTGAATTTGAATGACTAGTTTTTTGTCTCGGAAAGGTTATTACGAAGCTTGATATAAATGGTTTGGTTGAAATCGGAATTCCTTGTGTTTAAGGTTATGGCTGTTAAGAAGAACATTGAAGATGTACAAGGCAAGGACAATTATCCTTGTGGACAGCAGTTACTGATTCACAATGGGAAGGTATTGAAAGATGAGACTACACTGGCGGAGAACAAGGTTTCGGAAGACGGTTTCCTTGTTGTCATGCTTAGCAAGGTAATTTTTTGTTTTTCCTTGAAAAAATGTGACTATTATGAGCTTGCATTGCATTGTAACTTTGCCACGTCTTCTTTTGTTGTTTAAATAGTTGGAGTCACATGCTTGGCACGTGCACATGTCCTTTAGTGTATTTGTCGGATACGATATGAAAAAAGTTGTTTTCCTCATTCATTCTTTTACAATTGTTGTAGATTTACGTTATACTTAATAACAGAGCAAATTGCGATACTAAAATATGAAAAGCTTAGTTACAACTCTACTTGTCAATCTTTTTATTGGAGAACTCAAGGTACAAGCAAGATGAATAAGGGTCTGTTTTTTTCACAACTTGAATCACAATTCAAACTTTTTACTACAGTGTTTTCTCTCACAAAAATTCAAATTCAACTTTTTTGCTAGTGTTTTTTTGTAACATAAAGTCACTTTTCAAGTTTCAACTCAAGTTTTCAATCGAAAACGTGAAAAGAACGGGGCCTAAAAGATCAGGAAAAAAATTTTCTTACTTGATTTAACTTCTACATATTGAGAGTAAATTGTTTACTCTGTAAGAAAAAAATTTCTTTCTTGATTTAACTTCTATATATTGAGAGCATTCTCATTTAGGTAATAATATCTGCGTACATTCTTTATTTAACAATAACATGATAAAGAACGGAAAAGACTCACCTAAGCAATTTAGCCAGGCATGGTTGAAGATCCACACAAAATAGTGATAGAAAACTCAATCAACAATTTTGTTTGATGCACAAGGAAAATTAAAGAAAAAGGATAAATCACAAATTGAAGGAGTTTTGGGTAATAATTAGGAATTAGTTTAAGCAATTCAGCAATTGTGTAATGGAAAAATTTTGAAGCTCTTTTACAGAGGTGTGCTACTGTGCTCAAATGCTTAAACTAAGAGATTTCAAACAATAAAGAAAGTACTAATGTGACCAAAAATAAAATAGGCGACAGAAATCCAGGTAAGCGGGGTGTGAAACGGAAAAAAAGGGGACAAAACTGCTTTGTTTAGAAACAGACTAAACCTTCTCTGGAACCTTTTTTACCTTTTAGATATCAATAGATTTGGAATTTCTTTTCCTTCCCGTATTTTTGGGTTTAAATGTTTATTATAATTGTTGTCTGCTAGTTCTGCTTTTGCTCAACACCTTCAAGTAATTTATTATTGAACTGCATTGCTGGAAAAATTAATTACATTATGCATGAGACATAATTCTACTTCGTCTTGTCCCAGCTTGGTAAAAGCATAAAAGCATGAGTACTTGGGAAGATTTTGTTGTTAGTTGTTACTTGTACCCACTAGGCGGCATCCCTAGTTGGTTTTACACTGTTCGATATTCGACAAAAGCAACCATCGTTGATGCGGTTGCAACCTTGCATCAATTAGTTCGTACACTTATATAGGGTTTTGTTTCTTCTTACTGTCTTTTTCATCTATGCTTTACCTGTTAACATATTTTTCACTCCACTTATATGTGGGTTGCAATTAATTAAAAGGGATGGGCGTGCTGCTAAATTTTTAATATAACTATAGTGTAGGTTCTGAATTGCGCAATTAAGTGTTGATGCATTTTGACTATGTGTAGCGAGGTGTAAGCCACAAATGGTCAAAGTGGTTTAAGGCTTAAGCCTCGAAATAAAGCCATAAAAATTAAATAGTTAAAAAAAAATGAAAAATCAAGCATTTAATTTTCAGCAAGTCACGTTTAGGGTTTCCAGTCTCTTTGATGCCCAGACTTCTTCTCCAGACCAACTGGAGAAGTATTTAATTATTTTTTAAAGTAGTTAAAAAAATGAAAAATCAAGTATTTAATTTTCAGCAAGTCACGTTTAGGGTTTCCAGTCTCTTTGATGCCCAGACTTCTTCTCCAGAGCAAGTGTTTTTTTATATTTAGTGGCAACGTTATTTTCTATAGGCTTGTTTTTACATTCAGCTTCAATACATAGCAGTTTTTGGGGCTTGGGCATTTTAATTGGTTTCAGCCTGAAAATTTCCCAACAACCCCTCCCCCTCGTGTATGTGACGCGTATGTCTCTTTCCAACAGGTTGAGGCTTAATGCCCAGAACATTTTTTTTTGAATGCCCCATGGTCAGGCTTGCTTTAATATTGCGCAATCTCAATGCATGGCTGATAATTTGCCTTCCTATCCCTAGTTCAAATGGTGATATCACACTAAACTGCTTGTAACACTGACACTTTGGATTGAAACTCTCCGTGGACCACCCGTGTTATTTATTAGAGCAACTTTCAGAAGCTGATTTTAGTTAACATTACACTCTATACCTTGAGGTTTAGCTTGTATTTAAGAAATTTCATTCTTCTTATTATAACAGCCTAGTTTTGAATCTTAAAGGTATTAAATAGCTTATTTGCTAAAATTTATTGATAAATGCCATTTTTAACTTAAAAGAAGATTGTAAGAGTAAAAAATGAGTTTATTAACTGAAAATCAGTGAATATTATGTAAGTAAAAAAACTTAAATATTGATAAAAAAAAAAGTGTATATAATTTGGGACTCCACGGGAGTAAATCTGGTAAGTCCTGGGTTTACTGAATTTGACCATGAGGTAAATTCGATAAATCCTGAATTTAACCAAGTAAGTAAATCTCAGATTAATCTGGTAAGTCCTGGGTTTACCGAATTTGATCATGGGGTAAATTCGATAAATCCTGAATTTAACCAAGTAAGTGTAAATCTCAGATTTGTTAAATTTGGTCATGGAGTAAATCTGGTAAATCCCACACTTCTATTTACAAACTTACCAAAAAATGTGTCATTTATTTTTGTTCCCCATCAATTAAGGTTATTAACCTCCGCTTTTTCTTAAATTGCTGCTAAGAAGCCTAGAAAAAAAATATTATTTCACATAACCAAATTGAATATCAGATCGAGTTGCTGCTGAACATTAAGGCCTCGTTCATTTCACCGATTCGAGTTTTTAGTTTTAGATTTCTACATTAAAAAGCTCTCAGAAAATGTCACATCTAACTTTTTCTGCTACAGTGAAAAGCTCTCAGAAAATGTCACATCTCAACTCGAATTGAAAATTTGAATCCGCGAAGTGAACGAGGCATAAGAGGCAGCTGCAGTGGAAAAAATAATTATGACCATGAAAGGGACTAGAAACTCTTGTTCCGTCTTGCAGAAAATCAATGTTTGGTTTCTAATATTTTTAATGTTTTCTTTTATGATTTTATTTTGAGGTTTATGCTTGACACTGTTCTGAGACTTACAGCCGCGCCTTACAAGCAAAACACTTTAGTACCTAATTGCGCAATCTAGAACCATAGCTATAACCAAAGTAAAACTATCTAGAAAAATAATTTTTCTTCAGTTCAGCAATCTGCGAAATTTGAAATCATGCTGAGCATTGTTTACTTGTCAATTTTTGGTTTTATTTTTCCTACCTCCTAGTTCTTCTAAAAGATATTATTTATATTTGATGGGGTGCTAGAAAGTTATTAGACATATTTTGTGTAATATGTTATTTGCAAACATCTTCATTCTAGTAAAAAACTAACATATAGCCTCCTACTAATCCTAGTTTTATTGTGTATTTTGTTTCTGTATGACCTTTCTAATTGTGTCCATTTTTGTCAATTGAGTTTCTTCTCAATTCCTTTTTTACTGCCTACAGAGTAAAACATTAGGTTCTGCTGGGGCCTCGTCTACTCAGGTAATGTTCTTACTTATTCATGGCAATTAGGAATTATGTCGTACCTTCTATTTCTATGTAAAATGTAAACCACTGCTACCTGTATACAACAGCCAGCTTCTACAAACCCTCCTGCTACTGCGCCAACCTCAAATGCTGCTGCTCCTGCTGCTCCTGCTGAAGCTGAAGCTCCTGCTGCCCCTGCTGAAGCTGAAGCTCCTGCTGCCCCTGCTGAAGCTCCTGCTGTTCCGGCTCAAGCTCCGTAAGTTTATATGGAGACCATCGTTTTTGCTTGCTTTTATCTTTTTGGGATAGATTCTTTCCTTATGCTTTGGATATTGCTGACCAGCAGGCCTGCATCAATGTTTGCATCACATTTATTTCTCTGTTTCCTCTTTTGCCATCAGTGTTCAGAATATAGACTGGGATTAGGTGGACATCTTGTTGTCTCTCTCTCTCTTCAGGATTTTGTTTGTTTGTTTGTTTGTTTTTTTTTGGTTTCTTTTTTCGGTCCTTTTTTTCTTTTTTTTTTAAATAACGAAATAACACAAGTCTTGTTTCTTATGAGAAAAAAATGACACAATCCAAATTAGCAAACTTTACCTTTCAGATAACATAGGAAAATAAAATATGCTTCTTCCCTCTCATGGTATTGACCAAGGAAGTAGTGACAACAATATTTTTGCTTCTTTGGGAATGAAAAAGAAAACCTAATTGTTATGTTTGGGAAGGGTGGTGATTTATCACTAGGCAGGTTGGATGCTTGTCTGATGTCTCTTCAATTTAATGTTTGAGTTAGGCACTCATTTGGTACCTGTGATGATTTATCTATTAGATACGTTGCTTAAGATAGAAATGGTTTTACTCTTTATTTATGCATTTGTTTCCACCACAAGCAGTACCTCTGGGGACTGGCAAACCTGCTAACATATTTGATTATTTTACACATAGCTGTGAGCTTATCACATCTGATGGGGTTAACAGAAGTCTTGTTTCTCATGGGAAAAAGATGGCAAACCTGCAAGTGAGATTATATTATCTTCTTTTGGAGGACGAAGAGAAGCAGTCGTAATGCGCGTGTGTTGGGGGGGGTGTTTGTGTTTTTGTGCGTGCGTGGGTGGGGACACACACGCATGTTTTTTGGATTTGCTAATTGTGTTAATTGCTGGCTTATCAGGCAAAAGATGAGACCTTTCTCTTTCTTTGCATCACTTTGAATTATATTTTGCAAAAGCAGTGGTAAAAATATAAATAGATCATTTATATCTGCACTGCCAGTTTTTTTACGATAATGATGACGCTTGCTAGATAAAGCTGGGATTTATTGGGTTATCCTTCCCAATGTCGATTATTCATCACCTGGGGAATTTTGCGTGTGTAGTAGGAGTGAGAGAAGCTCTTGAGGAGATGATGGGCGCTGGCTCTTATGTGGGTCTTGTGGATAAGAATTCACTGTGGCTTCTTTATGAGCTTAGACTACCAATGAATTTTAAGATACTCCGTTTCTTTTTATTCATCCCAGTGGAAAGGGTGTGTGTTTGTCTGTTTTTCTTGGGCTGTTGTTTCGTCTTTCTTTGATCTTTTGAAGATTCCTCGTCCACTACTTTTTGTATTTTTATTTTTTACTCTTATAACTGTTGTTGAGTCATGTATTTTGTTGTTGATGATATAACGTTGTTACTGCAGCGTGACTAGCGATACCTATGGTCAAGCTGCTTCAAATTTGGTTGCTGGTAGTAATCTTGAGCAGACCATTCAACAAATAATGGATATGGGTGGTGGCAACTGGGATAGAGAAACAGTGACCCGAGCACTCCGAGCAGCTTATAACAATCCAGAACGTGCAGTGGACTACTTGTACTCTGTATGTCTAAATTCAATGAATTTTCTGCTGCTTCATTTTTCTAGCTTTAATTACTGACTTTTTCTCTCCAGGGTATTCCAGAAGCTGCAGAAGTTGCAGTGCCCGTGGCTCGTTTTCCTGCAAGTCAGGCAACTGAAACTGGTGCAACCACTGCTCCTGCCTCTGGGGCACCTAATTCGGCTCCCTTGAATATGTTTCCTCAGGTAAGGCCCCTGATTATGGAAAGGCCCTTGCATTTGTTCTGTGATGTGAATTTTCATATCTAAACCGAAATTATTTAGGAAACACTTGCTGGTGCTGGTGCTGGTGGTGCGCTTGGATCTCTTGATTTCCTTAGGAACAACCAACAGGTGATTTCTTTTTTTCTTGTTTCACCTGGGATCTTTTTAAATTTTATATATCATTTTGTTAGTGGGTATGGAGGGAAAAGGAGGTGAACACCTGGGTGCATAGAGGTCTCTAGTTCAAGTCCTGGATGGCCCAGATGCGCCAAGGAAAAGAATAGAAGAAGCATTTGACTTCTTTATGCATATTCCACTGGGCTCGGGGGGATATAGCTCAGTTGGTAGAGCTCTGCTCTTGCAATTGGGTTGTTGCGATTACGGGTTGGTTGTCTAATTGTCCAGGTGGTAATGACAGTATCTTTAATGTCACCTACATATACGTTTCTCACGTGTCTTAAAAAGGGGAACTGATCGAGATGTGGTGAGTGTGACTTGACTACATATTTCTCTCTTTATTTTCTGTGTTTCAGTTTCAAACTCTGCGTTCAATGGTGCAAGCTAATCCACAAATTTTACAGGTCTGTATCCCTTACTTGCAATTGTTGTATGATTACTTTTTTATATGGTCTGAGATTTTTCTGCTGTTATTGTCACAGCCCATGCTACAGGAGCTTGGAAAGCAGAACCCCCAGCTTTTACGATTGATTCAGGAGCACCAAGCGGAGTTCCTTCAGTTAATAAATGAACCGCTTGAGGGTTCTGAAGGGTGAGTTTTCTGTTATATTCTCACTGGAAACTTTTAACGGTAGCATACCATCTCACCGTAATTGGCACTTAATCTTTGAGAGGCAGTGCATGCAGCTTTTCATTAGTTGACTTGCTCTAGTTACCTAATTGATCTTGCATAATAACGTCAAAAACTCAGTATGTGTCCTTGCTCACAACTCACTCGGCTACGTACTCGAGTCTCTTAACATAATTTTAGTGAACGATGGGAAGTTATTTCCTTCACAAAAGCCCCATACGCATGTAGAATTGTACACTTATTAAGTCTTGTTTCTTCCAGTGACATTTTTGATCAGCCCGAGCAAGACATGCCTCATGCCATCAATGTCACGCCAGAAGAACAGGAGGCTATTGAACGGGTATGTTTTCTTATCAATCTTGAAGGCTCTTTATGATTTTCTAAAAAATTAAGAGCTTGTTTGGTAAAGGGATTCAAACCTTGGTTTTCTTACTAGAGCGTTATTTCTCACAAAAATTTGAATTTTAATTGAAACCATCTAGTTTGAACCCACGACGAAACGGGTCCTATTTATTTTCTGTTGTTTATTCCTCGAAAATGCTAATCATTATTGCTCATATTCCTCGGCTCTACTGATTATATGCTTGTTGTAGCTTGAGGCAATGGGATTTGACAGAGCCCTAGTCATCGAAGCATATTTGGCGTGCGATCGCAATGAGGAATTGGCTGCAAATTACCTATTGGAGCATGCTGGAGATTTTGAGGATTAAATGATGACCCCTGTGGCTGTACCATTGGATTCATAGTTTTTAGGTTTTTGGATCCGTGCCTATTTCAGCTTCTTCACTAGGATAGCGTTTTGGAGTAAATTTATGTACTTTAATAAGGTATTTGTTATAATTAATTTTGCCGAGATTAATTATTTATCCTGGTACGAGAAATTTTCCTTTGTCATGGCTTCTTTTATTTACGGAGAATTAACTATTATTTTTTTATTTAGGTTGTGGGGAATTAATTATTAGGTTGCTATAGAAAGGGTTCTGCTTCATTTTATAATGCTCGTTTACTGAAATTTTTTGTTTCATGTTTGGGAAAATCGCTAGCATTTGGAATGTCCAAAAAAAGTGTTGTTCTAGCAAAGAAATAATTTAATCTTTTATTTTTTTTTATTGATTTTTATAGAATTTTTGAACTCTAATCAGATCAATAGAGGTTGAGGGACAAAATGGGGACCCCCAGAGATTTTATTTCGTTGGGTTTATTGCACATATCGCTCTTGTATTTGATGTTTAATGATATTATTTTAATTTTGTTTTTTATCCGTTGATTATGAAAAGATTATAAAATTCGATATTCCTCTTGTCGCTCTTTTTCCAAATTAAATGGCTATTCAATCTTGAAACGAAGAATGTGGCTCAAAAAAAAAAAAAAACCCAATGTCTGCAAAAAGCCATTATAGGAGAATCTGGACCAAAGTGATGACTGATAGTTTATGCAATGAACCAACCAGGGTGGATGTTTTCAACTCTAATAGCTTGTTTGGTTTATGTGTATAAGTGAATAATTTTGATTTTGAATTTAAATTTTGTATTTTGTGAGAGAATTAATGGTAAGAATTATTTTTATTCATTTTTTTAAGAGAAAAGTACATCAGAATCGTAGTTTCAAACGCGTGGAACAATGCCCTTAATTGTATGTTTCTGACTAGTGGTTTCTGCATTGTTGGAATCAACCTCAAATCTTATGATTTAGGTGAATTTAGTATCGTTTTCAAAATGATTTTCACGTTTTCTTTTCAATTTTTAAACCCCTGTCAGCTTGTTTTCGGCTATTTAAGGCTGAAAAATGAAAATTAATAAAAAGGTTTTGATGTTTATTCACTTTGTGAGATATTCTTCTTGAGTTCTTGAAGAACAATTCCGAACTTATCAATGTTTTTCTTGTGGCGTTCAACCTGACTTATCAAACGGAATTTTCATACTCGTTTGTGGCGTCTTCACCATACTAAGATTCTTATTTTGCTAAGTAACGAGTCGCGGTTTCCATCAATTCTGACAAAGTTGTTTCTAAAAACAATTCTTAAATAATGCTTGTTACGTATGTCTTTTGAAAGTGACATGTATAATTTAGAAACAACTTTTTTATTTTTTTTGTAATGATGGAAAGGAGAGACGTCCAAAAATTGTTTTCGTTTTAACAATAATAAATAGTTAGTAAATAATTTATAACAAGCAAATAAATAATCAAATAGTTAGTTATCATGTATGCTTACTCGTGATATGGTTAATATTTTAAAATATTTAAATATTAGTTTTATGAATTTTAAATTTTGTCCAAATTTAAGGGATCCAAGTGCTAAGAAATTGTCCGGGACCAAATTGTCCAAATTTTTAAAATGAGGACCTAGTATAAAGAATATTTGAATTTACGGACCTTATTGTCCAAATTTTTAAAATAAAAACCCAAGTGCCAAAGATAGAAAAAAAACTTAGGGACACTAATGGAAAAAAAATCCTTTCCTTTATTCTCTAACAAATTCATTTGCATAAAACTCCTGATCCCAATATTTTCTCATAAATTTTCAAAATAGGGACATCAGCGTTTAGTTGGTGGATTTGTGTTATGATTCGGATCATAATTTGTGACTCGTTATAGTATTTTTTCTTACAAAAAATACACATAAATTGAAAATGATTCTGAATTCATGAACTAAACAGAAAAATCCCTTTCCTTTATTCTCTAAACAATTCATTTGCATAAGACTCCTGATCCCAAGTTCGGATCATAATTTGTGACTCGTTATAGTATTTTTTCTTACAAAAAATACACATAAATAAAAAATAATTCTGAATTCATGAACTAAACAGAAAAATCTCTTTCCTTTATTCTCTAAACAATTCATTTGCATAAGACTCCTGATCCCAACATTTTCTCATAACTTTTGAAAACAGGGACATAAGTGTCAAAAAGAAAAACTTCAGCGACCCCAAATGCAAAATACTTTTTTATGGGAAATTTTTTATTCCTGAAAAATCACTGTACAGAACAAAAATCCCAGATCCCCAACACGCGCGCTTCGGCGGCGGAAACGAACAAAATGGTACGATTACGACACTTTGCAGTTGCTGGCAGATCTTTCTCAACGTACGCGGTGTATTTAGCCAAAAAAAAAAAAAAAAAAACTTTACATAGAAGCAAAGATAGATAGAGCCGATCACATGAAAGCCTAAAAACTTGGTTAAAATCCCATGACTCCTACAACTAACTCTGACTCTTTCAAAAACAAAACTACTTAAAAAGATTTTGCAATTTAATCCCATTACTCTCTCTCTCTGCAACCAAAAATCCCCACATCGGTTTCCTTGTTTTTTTTCTCTTCTCTTCTCTTGCGTTGCGTTGGGAGTTTTTGGAGCTTCTGCAATCATCCATCAATGGACAAGAAGAAAACTCAGGTCGGAGCAGAGCATGAGACGGAGAAGAAGAAGTATCCGATAGGGCCGGAGCATTACTCTCTCTTTGAGGAGGTAGGTCAAGGTGTCAGCGCCTGTGTCCGCCGAGCTCTCTGTAAGCCCTTCGACGAGATCGTCGCCATCAAAATTCTCGATTTCGAACGCGATAATTGTGATTTGGTACGTTCTATATATATATATATATATATGCGATTACGATTCATTATGCGATTCGATATTGATGCGATTGTTCAGGAAATAGGATTTGTGCGAGGAAATTGTTGTTTCGGAATTAGATTTTGGAGGGAGATTGTTTTTTATTATTATTTTTTTCCATTGCGTTAATGGTTGTTCCATTGAATTTGTTATTTTTATTATTTTTTATTTTATTTAATCTGGGAGATTGCGAAATCTTTTGGATGCTTGCGGATTTTACATGGGATCTGTGAAAGAGAATGAATAGGACAGGTTGAGATTTATTATTTTTGTTTTCGTTAGCGACCAAAAAAAAAAATTTGGGGAAAATATTATTTAATTCGTCCTGTTTTCGTTAGAGTTAAACCACTGATTCAGTGGATCGTAATCTATACACCTGACAGCTAAGTTTTGTCAAAATAACAGATACTACTTTGACCAATAGTTATTTATATTAAGGTCCCTGAGAAACCAAGAATGCTACACATAGACCCCTTCCATTATTGATTACTCAAAGTTAACGGAATATCAATACTAATCTTGTAAAATTGAGTGGAAAAGAAAAATATTTTCCCTCGATTTAGTTGACCATTTGTCACAAAATCAACGATTTAGATTTGTTTGAGGTCTGATCTCACTCTAAAAGCCTTAATCAGAACCAAAGTTAATAGGATTGTACAAGAAGTTGGTTAATAAAAGCCTTATTTAACTGTGGTGGTCACATATTAATGTCACCAAATTGCTAACTAGGAGAGGAACTGAAGCTCTATTCCAGCTGGAACAGGAATATATCATCCATATTTTATGAGAAAAAGAGACAACAATGGAGGATAGTATTTTTCTGTTAATGACACTGAATGGTTTTTGTATATGTATTCAATTGTAGATTATTTTCATGATGGAAGTAATGCCATTTTGGTAATTTGTATCTAGAAATATGATATCATCTTTGTGTAGCGATAAGTAGCCAATGATTTATTTTATTTTTTATTTTATTTTTGAGATGCTTCAGTTTGGAATGCTGCTTTTGATTCAGTAGTGTGCTTTTTTACCATATTTATGTGACTGTAGTGCCTGGTAATAGTTGTTTCTGACATCTATATATTTTTTTGGGTCTGTGACAGAATAATGTTTACCGTGAAGCACAGACTATGGTCCTGGTTGACCATCCGAATGTACTGAAATCTCACTGCTCCTTTGTCAGTGGTCACACTCTGTGGGTTGTCATGCCATTCATGGCTGGGGGGTCTTGCCTTCACATATTGAAGGCTGCACACCCAGACGGTTTTGGGGAAGCAGTTATAGCCACTATATTGCGTGAGATATTGAAGGGTTTGGAGTATCTTCATCATCATGGCCACATACATCGAGATGTCAAAGTGAGCCTCCTTTCATTCATCATTTACTCCAATATTCATGTCTTAGTCACAAGTCAGTAGCTTATTTATTTACTTATTTTTGGCTCCCTTGTATAATTCAATCATTATCATTTCACTTGTTTATTGATTTTTTGCTTGTTTGGTGTTTGTATTACTATTTTTTAGTTTTAAACTTCTTGATGTAACGAAATGCAAGCAACACCAAATTTGTGTTGTTTGTTTGTTCTCTAGACAAATCCAAAAAGTCAATTGTGCTTCTCGCTTTTGCAGTGATAGATATGAGCAAGTTAGTTCCCTAATATTTAGTCAAAGGTACTGTTGGTTCAATCATCTCCCTCAATAATATTTGGTCTTTCATCCCTTAGATTCTCTGATCAAACCTTGGCAACTGCAACGTAAGGCTCAGGGTCTTCCTCCCAGGCTTTGTTGTCATTTCTCCTTGGTCAATGTCTTTAGTACATTATGATGCTATCTTTATGGTGTATTCATTTCTTTCTAGGTTTCCACTTGATTCCTTTCTCTGTCAATGCATCTCAAGTTATGTTGTTTATTAATTTTAGCATGAAATATAGATTCTGTTGTTGATTTGCCTCAAAGAATGGTCAATATAATTTTTCTATTTTGAATTACCAAATGAGCCCCTCTCTTGTTTCCAAGATGCCATCATTTCTTATCCCTAAGTTGACTGTATCAAGTTCTGCATGTTGTGGTCATGGTGATTTATATACACGTATTCTGCGCTTTTTTAGATGAAGATCCACTACTTGCAGTTTATGCTTTTCACTCGTGCTGCTTGATTTTAGAAGACCACATTCTAGCAGCGTTAGCTTAAAGAATGGAGATGCTGCAACTTTTCTTATATTTTTGCAATTTAGTGTTCCTTAAATCCAATAATAAGATGCCTCATTTTCAATTGGAGCCATTATAATTTGAAAATTTTAATATAATTCTGCAGTACCATGCTCATTATGTCATACATGTTTTATTTAGGCTGGGAATATTCTTATTGATTCTCGTGGTGCAATAAAGCTTGGGGATTTTGGTGTTTCTGCTTGCCTTTTTGATTCAGGGGATAGGCAACGTGTAAGGAATACATTTGTGGGGACCCCTTGCTGGTATGGTTTTAATCCACACACACTCTCTCCCTCTCTCTCTCTCTCTATATATATATATATAAATATCTTATATATATAAGATATTATAATAATAAATGTATTCCCATTGCCAACACGTTAAATTTGTATGCCCTATTTAGATGATCTTACTAGAGGACCAATTATGTTAATTACCGGAAAAAAATTATATTAATTGAATTATTTGCAATCTTTTCTGTAGGATGGCACCTGAGGTCATGGAACAACTTCATGGTTATGACTTCAAGTTAGTGTTCTGTTTCCTCAATTTTAGCTCCTTCTAGCTCCATCTTTTCTCGTAGCTTTTCCATTTTAATCGTTAGTTGTTTTGATTGACTACTTCCATGCAGAGCTGATATCTGGTCTTTTGGTATAACTGCATTGGAGCTTGCTCATGGCCATGCACCTTTCTCAAGATACCCTCCAATGAAGGTGCACATTTTTTTTTTTTTAAGATGCTATTATTCCATGTGCAGTTTTATAGAATTGGATTATTAAATCAAACCAAATTAAACTGTTACTAGGTGCTGCTTATGACGTTGCAACAAGCCCCTCCTGGCCTTGATTATGAAAGGGACAGAAAGTTTTCTAGGGTATGCGGTAAACTTTTTGACTTTTCTTTTCCAGGTACTTGTAGTTACAATATCACACGAATGCTCTTCCTTATATTTCTTCTGTCTTCAGTCTTTTAAGCAAATGATTGCTAGTTGCTTGGTGAAAGACCCTTCACAACGGCCTTCTGCAAAGAAACTGCTGAAGCATTCATTCTTCAAGCATGCTCGGTCAAATGATTACATTGCAAGAACGCTCCTGGAGGGGCTTCCTGATCTCGGTGACCGCATTAAGGAATTGAAGGTTAACATTTTGATTTTTGACCAGTGAGAATTTTAAGCATTTGGTCATCTGCAATCTACACTTATATTTCTTTTTGCCAATCACAGAGGAAAGAGGAAGATATGCTTGCACAAAAGAAAATACCAGATGGTCAGAAGGAGGAGATGTCTCAGGTAGGAATTTTATGTCTGCAATAAATGAGAGTAAATTCTACCTTCTTATGGATTTTTTCTCAAAGCTTGTAGAGTGTATAAATATTTTTGATAGCTTTCTTATCTTGATCTTCAAATTATGTTGTAGAATGAATATAAACGAGGAATTAGTGGCTGGTGTTTCGATCTTGACTTCTTAAAGGATCAAGCTTCACTGGTAAATTAATTTTCCTTTTTATTCTTTAAAATAATAATTCTATGATGATGAAGATTATGGTGACGATGTCCTTACCAATTACAATAATGTTCTTATGAAGAACTTCCATTTTCTATCAGATTCAGGATATTGACGAAACTGTATCTGATAGTAGTCAAACAGGGAGCTCAAGCTCTCTATCTGCTCTCGATGTAAACGAAAAGCAATTAAAGTGTCCGAACTTACCTGATATTGCTGACACGGTATTATTTCCTTTCTTTATTTGGCCGAAGTATAGTATCATAAAGGTTATGTTTCATGGTTTAAATATGTGCACCCATAGGAGATGCACAGATGATGGATAAAGTTGTCTGTAATGATGTTTCTACCCGGTTCTGAAGGATCTGACATCTAACAGGAAAATAATTGCATGAACCAGAGCCAATCAGCTACTTTTCCATCAGTCGAGTCAACTTCATATGATTACAAGTACGCTATTTTCATACATCTCTTTTCACGTAATCATACCTATATGAGTACGTACAATCTAGCTTTACCCATAAATACATTCATACATCACGTTTGTTGGGTGCATGTGTGCATGTGTGTTACACAATAATTTTCCCATGCCAGTCCAGCTACAGGGTATGACAGTGAGTGTATTACGGAAATCTCCAAATATGCCAAATTCTTTGAAGCATAGACAAGTCAGTTGTGGGGTCATGTATATGTCTGCTATGCTCATACCCAAGTCCATGTAACATGAATCTTGATAGTTCGACATATTGTTTACGTATCAAAGAGGGTTATGATTGATTAGTTGTAATTGCTCTATATCTAACATTCTAAGGGGCTTCGAAAAAGAAAGAGATTAAGTAATTCCCTTTATCTTTGATCATTCTTAGGGGCTTCAAAACAGAAAGAGATTAAGTAATTCCCTTTATATTTGATTATGTTAAGTTGGAAGCATGTTTTCAGTCAACAGTGTGTTGTTATTTTTAGTTCTTTTGGTTTCTTCTATTCTCTCTTTTGAGAACTTCTTGTGCTTAAAGTGCTACTTTTGTTGTGATATTTCTCGTTTCTTATATATCCAAAATAATAGCAATTAAATTATTCCTCTATATAAGCATGCTAGACCTATAACTCAGGTAAGAACTAAAAAAGTAATAATACGATGATTTATTTATTCTTCTTTTTCTGAAGTAGACGTGATAAATCTGATGATGAATCCACCGTTGCTAGTTCAAGCCATGAACAACACATATCACAGCACTATTCCCCTCTTCATGACAATCGCGTTGAAAATAATTTGGCTGAAAAGCCTGATTTAGAGAAGAGTGGAAGAAATTTGGAGGCCTTGGATATGCATTCTCAAGATAGAAGTCAAGGCTCATTGGATCATGCCGATTTACCAGGATTTGTGAATCTACAGATTAAAGAAGAGAGGTTTGACATTCAATCTCATAAAATTTTTAACCTCTTAGGTGTTGCCTAGTGATTACCTTCTTTTAAGGTAGATATTGCCCGGGATCCATATTTAGCCATGTTACATGATCTGGTTGTCATGAACTGCTCCCAGTTGGTATCAAGAGGAAGAGCAGTTCATGCTGAATTCAAAAGATATTATGGCTTTATAATGCCCTTGCTGTCGGAAGCAGAGTTTTGGCCCAAGAAGAATAAGAGGGGTTAGATATTATGCAAATACATGCCTTGACAACACTTTTGGCAATTTGTTTAGAAGAAATAAAAGATTCATGGAGATTGTAGTGATGATGATTAAGTTGTGGGTCTTTTTGTGGCTTTTTAATCTTAAAGAGTTTAGGGTTTATCCATTGTCCTTAATCTCGTTGGGTTGGAATTGGGCTAATCTCAGAATTTCTTATCAAAAAAAAAAAAAAAAAAAAAACTTATTTCCATATTACATGCAATATTGTCAAACTAAATCCATACTTTTTTTGGCGGACTCTAGTTCCTATATATTTGAAGTCAGCGTGAACTGCTCCTGATTTTTTATGCTTAGCTTTATGATATTCCACTATGTTAACGATGAAGTGACTTCTAAATGTGGCAATGAATTTTCAAGATATTACTGTGAAATTGGCAATATATCTATATCGCAATGGATTTTTGGGATATTACTTGGTAAATACGATAAATCAGTATCCAATCACATTGAAATAGAAATTTCCTTTCTATATTCCACAATAGCAATTTCTCTTTTGATGGATGGGTACATAATAATCTCATTGACCTGAGCTGAAGGACAATGAGAGAAGCACCAGATAAAATTACAAGTCATTGCTTTACGGGATCCATTTTCTTGCATATATATATATATATATATATGTACTGACATTTGAGCATTGGTTAACTGTCACTTCTAGATTTGTGTTTATCTAGAGCCTCATTTGCTATAACGTTCTAATTAATGCATTGAATTCTTTACTCTCTTACAGCTCATGATATATGTATTATGGGATGTGGATTCACGAGTTTTTTTTTTTTTTTTTTTTTTTTTTTTAATTTTTCACGTTAAAATGTTGTATTTTTTTTTTTTTTTTTTTTCAATATTTCCAGTGAAAAGTTGCAAGGTCGATCCCAGAATGGTTCAACTTGTAATGCTGCAGTAGTGCAACATCCAGTAGACGATGTGGCTTTTGATGTTTCTTCAAGACTATCTAAATCACCAGGCATGAGCTGAAATTTTTACTTTTCAATTTTAAAATCTTGATATGCACATATTTTTCCATCAGCTTTCATTTCGTCAATGCCACATCCAGTAGATGATGTGGCTTTTGATGTTTCTTTAAGACTATATCACGAGGCATGAGCTGAAGCTTTTACTCTTCATTTTTGGATGTTGATCTGTATCCTATTTGATCAATATACATGAGCACTTTGCTCTCTCGATATTTGATAGCAATCTCAGCTTTTCCATTTGGTCCAATCTATCAACGATGCAGCAGATGGTGAAGAAATTGATGAGAAAGCAAAGGAACCTGTCGTTCAGCAGAAAGGACGTTTCAAAGTCACATCCGAGAATGTTGACGTGGAAAAGGTGACTTTAATGATTACTTTATTGTATTTTCTTCTCTTGTAATGACAGTTTATTAGTTTTATGTTCTTTTGTATATGTAAGAAACATCATTTAATTGATGATAAAATCAATTACAAAGGAAAAGAGCACTAGGCTTTTATCAAAAAAAGAAAGAAAAAAAAAGGAAAATGACACAAGATGTCCTCGAGAAAAATCAATACACGAAAAAGAAAAGCCAAATAATTTAAAATAATTTAATTTTATTATTTCTATTTCCTCGTTTTTCTTGATTAAAAGAAAATTCTTTTAATTTCAGGTAGTGTCTACTCCTACGCTGCAAAAGAGTCAAAGCTTGCAGGTTGGTATTTTTTTGACATTAGCATACACTAGCCGCACAATCTATTAAGCTTATTTCAATGAAAGATAGTCTCATTGCATGCAGCTTTGTCCCCCCCCCCCCCAAAAAAAAAAAAAAAAAAAAAAAAAAAAAAAACACCACATTCATGTGGAAAAAAAATTTTCTTTAAGTGCTTCTTGGACTGTTTAGGGGTATCTATGGAAGCCAATTAGGTAGTGAAAGCTTTCTAGGAGGTTGATAATTTTGGAGGGTCGTGTAGTTGGAAACTGGGTGTTTTTCAGTGCACTTCGCAGTTCTTTTTCTAAGAGCAATGGGCCAATCAAGATCTTCATGAAAAAGAGAACTAGCGAAAGTGTTACCTGGTTTAGGTTCAATGACAAGGAAGAATTTGGGACTCTTCCTTGTCATTGATTTGTTAAAGGTAGCCGACTCTACTGTAGATTGAATTTTGTTGTCTTCTGTTAGTTTGGACCTCTTGGCCGTGTTTGGAATTGATCCCGTTTTTATTTTTCACATTTTTCGAGAAATAAAAAATGAAAATGTTTCTAAAACGGCGTTTGACGCAATAAAGACAAAAAAATGAAATGAAAACGATTTTTTAGTTTAGTATAAAATGAGAGAAATAAAAAACGACTTTTAGTCGTTTTTTATTTTTTATTTTCGCTTTCTCCTCTCTCGAGCAGAGAGAGAGACATTAATGGGTTTTTTTATACTGAAAACAATATCTTAATAAAACTGCCAAATGCATTTTCAAAAATAATTTCTGTCTGAGATTGAAAACGTTTTTATTTTCATTTTCATACAAAAAACAAAATCATTTTGGAACGAGTTCCAACCCCGCCCCTTGTTTTCCTTCTCCTTGTGTATTCTTACATTATTTCGAAGTGTGTAGCTCTTATGAAAAAAAAAGTACAGTATTTTTTTTTTTTTTTTTCATTTTCAGGGAAGTATTAGATAATAAAGATACAGAAATCGTCACCACATCCATCCTTTGTCCCAAGATAGTAGAGGTGGCCACTTTCTCTATGCGCCAAATAATCTTTCCTTACAACTCTGATGATTGTAATGAGCGGGAAAGAAAGTCGCAAAGTAAGTTAGATTTCTGGTGATTCTGTCAACATAAACCAAATTGCAGGGCACTTAAGGAACATGTAAAACCTGTTTAAGGATATGGATGGAGTCGAGGGAATATTTCCTTGTAGGAATAGAGGTTTCATGTGCATCGGCAGCTTTGACTTTTCGGTATCCTTCACAGTGAATGTAAGGAGACACTTAAAAGAGCTCATCACATCATCAGTAGCCCCTCAATCAATGATGCACAGGTTGGAAAAACAACCTTTTTAAAACAGAAAGTGGTTTAGATCTATCACTTGATTGAACGTACAAGCTAGTGGAAGTAGGGCTCTCCGTTAGGCTGGGAAGCATTATCGGTTTTCCATTTGTTCCTCATTCAGACCCTCCAACGCTTTGTTACTCAGATCCAAACTTTCTTGCACTCGAATTTCAAACTCCAGGGTCAACTAAATAATATTTATGTACTTCCATGGAACTTAAAGATTTTCATGTGTTTATTTATTCTATTCATTAGTCACATTAACTGTCCCATTATTCTTGCTTACAAATGCACACAAACCAATCATTTCAAAAGTGAAATCACAAGGATTTGTTTGGAATTTGGACTTGTGAACGCAAACCAAACAGCCTCTACACCTGGCTTTTGTTACCTTAGAGTGAAATTTTCTATATGTATGCAGTTAAAATGTTTCTAAGGTGGCTTCAAACCAACTACGAAGTTAGTAGATGCAAAATATAGGAGTTGTCTCCAAACATAGATCATAGGATGATTAATTTCCAGTATTTCTTTTTGAGTAACTGGGAAATCAGATCTGCATTTTATTTCCTAGATGGTAACAAATATTTTTATCATTTTTTTTCTCCATTGAATTTCTCATGGACATACTTTGGGTTACGCAGGTGATTGCTCCACATCAGCAGGTTCCTTCACCATCTCCTTTTCCATCACCGCAACCATCATTTCCACCATCACCATCTAATACTGCTGCTTCATCTGCTTTTTATGGCGGTTCTCTTTTCTCGTTGTTGAACACTATTTTGGAGACTAATATAGTTCAGAGGGTATATACTAGCCACAAATGCTTAAGGAGTTTCATTCGAAATGAACATTCATTTGATGTATCATGTTTCTTTTCAACAGGACGTTATTTTGAGTATAATGAAGCAAGTTGCTGCCAGTGACTTTACAGGTTTAAGCATTGTGCTCATTCATTGTAGTTTCCAATTTAGTATATCAAGTATTAAGTTCCTCCTTTTTTTTCTTCTCCTGAATGCAGCTAATGGACGTTGTATGTCTTCTGGTGTCATGGAACGAACTATGGTATGTTATAGTATGGTGTCATGCGCATTTTTATTTTCCAAATTACTTCCAAAAGTTGGTTATTCCATGCGTAAATTCTTCCAGTATTTTTTTTTTGTCTCTGAATATACAGATTTGGCTTGTTAATTTTTAAAAGGTGAAACAAGAATATTTTATTGAAAAGAACAAGCCAGTATAGTCATGAGAACCAGAAGTTCTCTACAATATAAAAACAGATGAAACAGAGAACAAAAGGTTCCCACCTTAATTAAAAAAAGGGGGAAAGAAATGGAAAACCAAAAAGTCACATAACTCTCGAACTCATGAAAATGATAGAAAAAGGAATATCTGAGAAATGCCAAATTTGCCATATCCTATACTTGATAGCAAATTTGCCTCCAAGTATAGCATATAGAAAATTTGGCATAACAAATGGCACTGTGTTGGAGAGAGTTTTTTACAATATAAATTATAGTTCTCTTCATTGCAACACATCACACATTTTTAATTCTCCCATGAACTATATAGCCAACCAAAAAGAAGAAACTTTCATAGGAAACTGAAACCCAGATGGTTAAAGAGAATGAACTAGCTAATCGTCTCCCATGTTATCAAAAAAGAGGGGGAAAGAAAAAAATCCGTCTCCCAAAGAGTTATGGATCAGTCACTTTGTCAGAAATAGATTAACCTAACTACAACCCCTCAAGTAAAGAAAGTTTCAAAGTCTCCTTTTCGTTGATTTCGGAAGAGGAGTATTCCAATCAATTGGATAACTGTATCTAGAATTAACAACCATATACAAGAAAGGAGCATTATGACCCCAAGATAATGTTAGGAACCTAATATTTTGAGGTCTTTTTTTAATTGTCTTAATAGTAGTATAAATAGGGGGTTTAGTTGCTAGGGAGAGGGAGGAGGAGATTTGTAGAGAGTGTCTAGTGCTGTGCACTATCTTGGAGGTCGGGGGTCCCCGAAACCATCCATCTATCTTGTAATTTTCCATTTTTAGTGTTGTTAATGAAGCGCAGATTTTCGGGTTCCTAACAGATAACCTAGACAACGGAGGAAAATAGATCATGAAAGAAACGACCCCTTGCCAAGCATCTCCCTAAAACCAAATTTTAGAACCACCCCCTACCTTAAATCCAATGCAGCTGAGAAACTCTTGAAGACCTGCAGATTGAACTTCTAAGGAATCTTATGGTTACTATATTAACAAGTTTAGAATCTTAAACATTTACTTGAAACTCCATGCTGACTCCCAACGACTGTACACCAAGGAGAATTATATTCTAGAGAAAGCCTCCGCAAGCACTTTCCCGAATCCTATTTGCAATTTTACTGTGTCTATTTCCTGCTTGAAAATACTTATTTGGAGTCCACTAATGCATGCGCGTAAAACTAGGATAAATTAGGGTCTAATGATTTATGTTTACCTGTTAGGAAGAAGTAATTTGTTTCTGGTGCATTTGACTTATATCTCACAAAGATGCTCTGGATTCATTTGTTTATGGCTCCGGCAAGAAAATTGCCGCCCCAAATTAATGATGCAATTCGCAAGTGAAATTACTTTGCTTCTTGTTGCACTTCCAGAAAAATTCGACCTGCATGTACTTTGGGTCTCTTACAGAACCTGATAATTGCGAAGTCACTGGATTTCTATATTTTTTTTCGTTGCAGCTTGAAGAAGCTCTCGAGAGGGAAAAACGGTTACTTCATGAGATAACTGATTTAAGTGGGAGGTATTAACGACACACACGAATGCAGTTAATGATTATAACACTATGGAATTTTAACACCATCTATTGTTTTTTATATGCAGGCTCTTAGGTACCCAAGATGAGCAACAAAAAAATAAAACAGAAAATGTGGAGGTTAATACTTAATATACAGTCCGACTTGTCTCTATTCTTTCAGTTCTGGGTGCATATTCTAACACATCAGTTTCAGGTATAATTCTTTTACATCCGACCGGCCTAATGGATGTTGGACGATTTATTCGAGTTCTTTTACTCCGAACCCACGCCATTCTTCGCATAAAAAAGGGAAATATGTAGAGGAAGGAACGGATCATAATGGCTCAGTGGCGTAGCATCATCAACAGCTATATTGCCCTTGCTATATATGATCTGTACTAGTTTTTAATAATAGAAACTAGTTCTTAGATTCACAACGATATTATTTCATTTACCTGATTTTAGTTTGCCTTTGATGTATACCTCATTAAGTTGTAAATGTTAGGGATGCTATAACAATAATTTTTTCATCCTCCTACTCATTTTATTCCAACATATAATTTTTTTTTTTTTTTTTTTTTTTTTTTTTTTTGGCGTTAATTTCATGTGTTTGTAAGTGACAATGCACGACTGTTGTTGTGGTTGTTAACATCATAACCATTGCAGAAACGAGTTAAACCAATTATTTTGGATTATACTTGTAACATTTTACCGTCTTTATATGATTAGGAAAATTTTATGATCAAATTGATAACTATTATTCTGATTTGTAGAATAGGTTGCTCTGTGTTGAAGATTTGATACTGTTGCGTAATGAGATTGCATTTACCACTTTGTTGTGTATGCATAACATAGAATGTAAAGCAAAGGAAAAGTAAAATAGTAAATAACGTGTATGCATAACATATACTGTAAAGCAAGATAAAAAAAAGTAAAATAGGTTCAATCGTTCCTTTTCTTTGTTCATTAAAGCAAAAAAAAAAAAAAAAAGGAAGAAAGTTTCTTACAAACAAAAGTCGTAAAATGTTTAAAAGAACTTTGAAAATTATCTCAAAAGTCCTTCAAAAAAATATTATCTAAAAAGTCAACTGACCTAACAAAATTAAAAAAAAAAAACATTTTGGAAAAAAAAAAAAACCATAATTTCTCAATTTGAATCCCTTACCACTTCCAGCCTTAAGTTTATAAGACCTTTTCTTCTCCATGTCTTTCTCCAATATATTTATCAATTTATCAAGTCTCCACAAATTTAAATCCTAAAACTAAATAGCATGTTTAAAACTATTAAGTAAATATCAGATTTTAGTAAATAGCAGATTACTAATAGTAGGTTTTTAAAATTAAATTAAATAAATAGCATATTTAAAATCTATTTGAAGTAAATAACATTTTACGTGGTAAATAAATTATTTACTGTGTAAATGATTTATTTATGATTGATAAAAAATAACTTGTGGTAAAAAAATCTTTATTTACATGAAAATAATTCTTTTTAATAGTGGTATAAAAAAAATTTACGTGAAAAATATTTTTACTCACCGTTGAACCATTTACACGGTAAATGATTCATTTACCACATAAACTGTTATTTATTTTTAATAGTTTTAAAATATATTATTTTTAAAAATTTGTTATTTACTACATTCTCCAACCTATTATTTGTCATTTTGAAATTAGGTACTATTATGTCCTTTTGTTGATAATTGGTTATTTTTTAATGGGGTGATATAAATAATATTTTTTTACCATCTTGAGTGGTATTTTTAGTTTTTCCCGAATTTAAATATGTGAAGATAAAAGGGAGAAAGAGGAAAATAGGCCAAGACTTGAGATGAATTAAAATTAATAGGCTAATAGTTTACATAAGTTAATAAATAGGCCAAATTACTGTTTTTGTCCATAACTTGTCTGGTTATGAACCATAACTTGACAAGTTATTGTCTATAATTGTCCATAACTTGTCTGGCTATGAACCATAACTTGACAAGTTTGTCCATAACTTATCTGGTTATGAACCATAACTTGACAAATTATGGCATATTAATTTCTATAACTAAAAATTGGCCTGTATATTTTTTTAAGTTTTTCATATTGGCCTATTTTTTACTATTTCCCAAGATAAAATAAAGTTTAAAGACTTGAAGAATATGCAAGATTAGTATCTCACAGGTTTATATTCTCAAACTTAGCCTTGTAGGTAATGTTTGCTCATTATGGGCTTATTTGGTAACTATATGCACACACTTTGTTTATTTATACTTTACAAAAGGAAAATAGTAGAAAATAGGCCAATATGAAAAACTTAAGAAAGTATATAGGCCAATTTATAGTTATAAAAATTAATAGGCCATAATTTGTCATGTTATGGTTCATAATCAGATAAGTTATGGACAAACTTATCAAGTTATGGTTCATAGCCAGACAAGTTATAGACAATAACTTGTCAAGTTATGGTTTATAACCAGACAAGTTATGGACGAAAACAATAATTTGGCCTATTTATTAACTTATGTAAACTATTGGCCTATTAATTTTAATTCATCTCAAGTCTTGGCCTATTTTCCTCTTTCTCCCTTTACAAAATTGCATAAAGTTTTTCAGAAAGGGTTTCCAACGTGATAGAGAAATATTGCTAACACTATAATCTTGAATTGTATTAAAATCAACTTTTCATTTGTATCTTTGAAAGTGTCAAAAAGTGGATAGACGTTTTATCTACAATGTCCTGTAACCTAATCGGTTACTTCAATAATCTTGCGGGTCATTAAAAACTTGAAGAGATTCTGCTCTTTGCTTCCCTCTGGTCGACCATACGTAGTCTACCGGTCGACTGGTACTCTTCAAATGGTCATATTTTTAATCGTTGACAACGAGTCCAAACAAGCATTTTCATCCTCATAATAATAAAAATAATAGTAACAATAATAATAATAGAAATAATAATAATAACGACACTACAAACAAAACAGTATCAAATATCCGCCATTAGTTTCTTCTCATGATCATAATTATGAAGATAATTAGAGTTTGTAGTGCGGGTTGTTGAAATTTGGAGATCATTCCACTTTGGTGAATGCAAAAAGCTAATCCAAATTAATTATAGATTAATTTTTATATTGCTCTATAATTGTATATCTGGCCTGCCACATGACTTGACGGCGAAGGCTTGCACTATAACTAGAGACTGACTCCTGCTCACCACTGATCTGCTAGTATAAACCATCTTCTACTTTTTTATTGTTTTTTTAATTTTATTGTTAATAACGTGACTCAATTTATGATTATAACTAATGGGACTGCAGCTCATTAGTTGTTTAGTTAAACTTAACTGTTTCAGTTAACCAATTGTGGTTAATATCCTAACTCAGGTTAGTATGAGGAGTTCTATTTATATGTGGTATAAATAGAAGCTGCAGGGAGTTAGTTATTACTAGTCTTTCATTCTGTTTTTGCTTTCTCTTTCTAGAACGGAGTCTGTATTTCTCGGTGAGTGCTAGAGAGAGAAACAGTGAGAATTTCTGGGTAAAGCTTGGGATCTTGAAGCTTTGTAATTGAGAGATTCATTGTGAGTGAGAGCTGTGATTTTGTAATCTGATTTTCTGCATAGTAGTGGATTGGACTGGGGGTTTTTCCAGCCTCTACCCTTGGACGTAGGATTTCCCAGAAATCCGAACGAAGTAAATCCGTGTTCTTCTTCTTCTTCTTCTTCTTCGTTTGTGTATGATTCTTGGAAGACATTGGCCTGGGAACAACATTTATTTTAGGAATAATGTCCAAGGATAGTCGTGAAACAGGCTCAGATATGGGCTTGGATCTGGTTCTGGTTTTGGTTTTGGTTCCGAAATTAAATCCGTTGTTGCTGCTGCCAATACTACTGTTGTCTCAATAGCAGATTCTGCCATTGAGACTGCTGTGAGTTCGGTTACCAGGTCTAAATCAGTTAGCACTACTGGCCAAGGAACCATGTCGGAACCAAAATCGGGTTACGGCTCCGGCTCCGGCTATGGTTCTGATCTGGTTGATTCCTGAAGGTGTGTATATATTCAAATGATCATGTCAGTATGTAACAACTACTTTAGTTTGCCATTAATAAATAAAAGTTGCAAAAAAGATGTTAGTTGGTTGTTAGATCAGTATTAGTGTGTGATTAGGGTTTGCGGGGGTGAAATAAGCGGCTAAGTTAATGTTGCTGTTATGCTTCTTTCTTTATGTACATTTCAATATTCTAGCAAAATAAAAGGACAATGAATTTTATGTATCCTAGTTTAACATATCGCTTTATTTCACCCCTAGACTAATTGCTCATTTAGCTCATATATTTGAGTATAAATTCAATTTTTTGTGAAAATAAAATTAAGTAAATGGTTGGAAGTGTAGTTCAAATTGTGAAACATATGACCCGTTTATAAAATTGTTCAAAATACCCCTTATGTTCTGATTGGTCTGTAATACTTGACATAATAAATATGTGACGCTAATTACAATTTTATAAATGCTCCGAATTAAAGTCAACTTTTCTCCGGATAGTTGATTTTCAGTATACATTATGCAAGTTTTAATAGAATATATAAAAATTTTAAAATGATAAGCAAATTGAGTAAGGGATCATGCTTTCAACTTAAAAAGTCAACTTATATGTTATTTTACCGTTAACACGTCCTTACAAAATGAAGCTTAGAGTAATGGGCTCTAACAGCATTTTAGAGTTTTTGAAGCGAGATGAGAAGAAAATTGAGGGAGAAGAATTGGAATTTATAAGGGATTGAGCTTCAATCTTAAAAGGTTAACTTATTAAGTGGAGTGATTCATTATTCTTATATGTTTGTAGTTATATTTGTATTTAGACAATGTGAAATTTGGGTATTTTACTCTTAACATTAATAAGTTCTAACAAATTCATTCTTCCGGCTGTGATTAAAAGATAAAACTGCATTCGAAAATGATTCTCAATTTTCTAAACAACGAAAATGATTCACAATCCATAAACCAAGGAGATACCAGATTCAAGTAACGTGTTTGTTACTAGAGAAACTCAATGTAGAGCAAGTTACAAAGGTATTATGCACCTATCGTCTAAAATTGGACCTATTGGCAGAATTTTTGTTTTTTGATTTTGGTTAGTAGTAGAAGCGAGATTTAAGCTATCGCTTTTAAATAACTGTTTGAAACCATATTTTTAAAAGAGTTTAAATGAGTGAAAATAGTTTTAAATTTTCTAATAAGTAATAAACATTAAGTTTATAATGTCTTATTATGCTTCCAAAGTATGCGTTTTATAATAATGTTAGTTACAATTGTCATGGATTCTCTTCACATAATAATAATAATTATTATTATTTTCTTTTTGTCCAGGTACCTTTTCATCTTTTGAGTCATGTTATAGAGAAAATGTAGTAAATAGCATATTATAAAACTAAATTAAGTAAATGGTAAATTTTAAAATTATTTGAGGTAAATAGTAATTTACTGCGTAAATATTTCATTAATGATTAATAAATAGATTGTTTTTCACGTAAATGATTACTAAAAATGTTTTTTTACGTAAATTATTTTTTATAAGTCATAATTGACAAGTTTACGCGGTAAATTACTATTTATTTCAAATAGTTTTAAAATATACTATTTACTTAATTTAATTTTAAAAATCTGTTATTTACTGCAATTTCTCTATCATAGAGTTAGTGGATATTTTGGCTAGCAAGTCCGGGCCAGGTCGAGCTAATAAATTTAGAGAAAATTGTTAAATTTACTCGTAAAATACGGATCTAAATTTTTACTTGTTATTCTTGATTAATACCATTTTAATTATATTTTAACTAATATAAATATTTGATTAAAAAGGGTCTTTATCAAAAATAGAAGATGAAAATCTAAATCTATACACTTTTAAATGTATTTGTCTTCTTTTTCCTAATATTTAAGAAGACTCAAACTTGGCCCAGACACCTCTAGAGAGTAGAGATTCCGTAGATAGATAGAAAGAAAAGGCAATTTTCCTTTCCATTCCATTAAAGTTCTTCTGGTTTGTTCAAAACCTTATTCATATTTACAAAACTTCTCCCCAACTTGGAATATAGTCGGGGGAACACTTGTAATTAAGGACCATTTGCTCTACATGGCCAGTGGGGATCTTCAGCTCAAATATTCATAAGAGTGTCCCTAGGTAGATTATAAAAAAACAAAAAAAACAAAAAAGAAAGGCGCAAAGAAAAGGAAAAGGAAAAATACTCTCGACACATTTTTCATTTCCTATTCATTTCTCAACACCTTCAACGCAGTAACTCCTGTACCAAGTCACTGCAATTGTGGCCCTTTTGAACATCATAAACTATGTGATGCCCACACGTCATGTTGACCAAGCACCAAAATTATTTTGATCGCTTTTAGTATTATCTAAGCATGATTTGCCGAGAAAGATGGGTCTGTAGTACTATTGTTAGACCATACAAAAACGCTCCAAAACGGTCTCTGCTTGTTGCGCTTGGGATGGTTTTCATGGTTATGACCATTGAGCTCCGACTCTGATCTTTGCAGCATTTCCCACATCACCTGCACGTCCTGATATCCGCACATCTGAACGTCGTCGTGCAGCTTCAAGAGCCCGGCACCTGCAATGTTCAACTTGTAAGTGACCAATTTCATTTCCGTCGCAGTTTCACAGCGGATTGAAGAAAGCAACATAATTTCAAGAGACTCAGAGAATTCTATGGTAGGGCGTGACAAAATACTTAACCGATAGCACAAAGTTCTTAACCTTAAAATCATGTCTTAACTTATAAATTAAAAAAAAAAGACATTTTAATGAAATTTAATGAATTGATCAGTCCATCTTAGGAAATCAGAGAATATTAATATTTATTGAGATTTCTGATTTTGTATATAGAAGAGTTTGTTTCAGTTATTGTGTGATTTCAATTCTAGTGGTCCTAAGCGCATAGATCAAGCAGGGGACCCCGGATGTTTATTGGGTATTTTTTGTGCACAAAGTGGGGTTGGAATAACGCCCTTTTTTTTTAATTTTATTTTCAAAGGCTTTCGTCAGACCATTTACTAAAAGTGACTTGGGCATAAAGTTGCACTAGAAAATTATGTTGATCCTATCGTCTTGACAAAATAAAGCATTATTTCAAAAAGAAAAGAAAATATTATCTATAGCAAAAGGAGACGGAGACTTCTTCGATCGGCACAGTTCTGAACCATCATTTTTTTTTTAATTTTGTTCTTAATCTACTATAGTTTTGATAAAATTTGACGGTTTAAAATTTAGTGTTAGTTATAATAATCTAGAGAACCTACAAACACAGATATATTATGTTCTCATTAAAGTGGATTTAGTCTAGTGGACATAGCACTCTGTTGACACCCTCAATGTTTGTTTCAATGTAACAGTAAAATAATATGAGTGATAATAAGAACATATCAGAATATGCTGTTCAATAACATTTTTAAGTGTCGGTACTTGGGTTGACTATTAATTTAATTGTAGCAACGGAAAGAATATTTCAGAAAATAGTTTAATTTGCACCGTACAAATTATGCAATATTAATTAAAAAGAATTTGCACAAAATGGATGATTATAGTATGCCACAACTATGCCGTGGACTCACTTCACCTACAACTCACAACACATATAGTAGTGGCTCTGAAATTAGGGCAGGCCCACTTTTTTTACGCACTCACAATAATATATGAGTTCACAAATATCTTTTTTTTTTATTTCAGCACAAATAACCTTTTTTTAGATGTTTTTTCATAAATGGCAAAATTTTATAAAATTATAAAAACGGTCATTTTTATTAATTTAGTGGTCAATTACTGATAGACTCAACAGTAAATCCATAATTAATTCGCTTATTCTTTATCATTGATCAATATTAGTTAATAATTAACCAAAATTAAGTTTTAATTTATCAATTTCAATTAATAAATTACATTTTTATTAATAATAAATAATTAATAAATTAATAGTGAATCAGTTAATCACTGATAAACTGTGATTTATAGATCACGACCATTTTTGTAAAATAAAAAAAGTTTGGCCATTTATGAAGAGAGGTAGTTAAAAAAGGCCACCGAACCCAATTTCTTTTTCTTTTTTTTTTTTTAGGGATGAGTTTGTAATATTATGGAGTACTTAAAACCTCGTTCGGGATAAACAAGATTCAATATATTCATATTAGAAAGATGTTGCATCAATTAAATGGAAGAGTAAAAAGTAAATAATCTTCAAAAGCAGGTAATGAAATAAAAATTGAGAAAAAAAAAAGTTTGATCAACATAGTATCGTTTTTTGTACAGAAACCAAAATGTTGAATTTAGAAAGCTACATATAACTAAAACATATTGACAATTTTTTTTAACCAAAGCTTTTTTGATAATTATAATTATAATTATATTATTGAAAAGGAAAGAGAAAAATCATGTTGTGGTTGAGCCTAGCCCACAACCAAATGAGTTTTTAGCCCCGAAGTTTTTATGAAATTTTAGTCGTGTCCTTACTATAGAAGAAAAATTATGTACCCCAATTGAATAATTAAGGTATATACTATATCTTTATTCATTAAAAAATTATCTCATATTTTCTCATAACATCCCACTAAAAAAATTTTCTGACTCTGCCATAGTGCCATTGAAATCATGGATTTGAAATTTGATTTGACAAAATAAACAAATATTATAACATAATAAAAAAAATATTACTTTTTTTTTTCCTTTCTAAAAGCATATTAGTAACTTTTGTTGAGGGAAAAAAGAAACCTAGTTGAAGAAGCCATCCTTCTAGTAAATGCCAAAAAAAAAAAAAAAAAAAAAAAAAAAAAAAGTACTACATTTAATTGTTAAACAGCAAAAAGAAATTTGTCTTAGGCTTATATTTCCTGCATCCACAATAATTATTGCGTGTGTATAATATTTTTGTGTGCGTAATTATGTATGTATCTATGTATGCACACACTTCCTTGATCCGTAATTGAAAAAAAAAAATTTGCTTCAAAAAAATAAATACAGAATTAATTAGTGAGACCAGGATTCAAGAATTCAAAGAACCATGGAATTAATTACAATAAAATTCCTCAACATAATTCTACGATCATATTAGTTAGAAACAGAGGAACCAAATTAAATGCCAGAGACGGAAAAAAAAAAAAAAAAAACTTGCTTCTATATTAAATTCCACAGTTCGAGTAATTTAGGTAAAGGGCCATGGCATCGGTATCCGTACACAGGAAGTTGTTTGGCAGAAAAGAAAAGAAAAGAAAACGTACCAGATTTAGGAGCCTTAACGCGAGCTGAGATAGCAAGCAAGACTCGACGGACAGGGAAAATCATCTTGTTCAAAAAATCCATCAAACTATCTCTCACTTTCTTCACTTTCCTTCTGCTTTTCCTTCTTCTTCCCAATCTAACCGCTATGCTCCTTAACCCGGCCAGACCTATAAATTTTTTTTTTTTATTTTGAAATTTCTCCGAAAGAAAATCAATATCAATCCTTCGTACGTGCAAAGTGATTGTAATTAATGATCTTAATCTCCTCCGTCCGAAGGAAAATCGATATCAAATGGAAAGGGAAAGGAAAGTGAGGGAGAGATAGAGAGAGCTTTGTTTTGTTTGTTGGCAGTTCAAAGCAGAGAGCTCTTTCAATGAATTGAAAAGGGAAACAAAAATAAATAAATAAATAAATAAATGAGTGTTAATGATATGATGTGTGGGGAGGCTAATTTGTCTGCTATAAAACTCTCTCTCTCTCTTCTCCCTCTTTTTTTTTTTTTTTTTTTTTTTTTTTCAATAAGTCTCTCACCGACACGTGATGCTTCATACACATGTTACTACTACTTTTTTACTCATTTCTTTTTTTTCTTTTTCTTTTTTTGGGTTATTATTATATTATTTCAGCTACTGAATATGTTACGTGTGTGTGTACGTGTATATACAGATGTATTTTTGTTATATATATATATATACATATATAATATATATAAATATCTATATATGATATATCCGTAATTTACTCAATTTGTCAAGTTGTACAGTCGTCTAGTTTCTTTTAGTTTGAGTAAAGCTTATTAGTGAAAGATGTAACATATCCATTGGTCCACATTGTAAATTACTTAGGAAGAATAATATTTTGTTTTGAAAAAAAAAAATGGTTTGGATAAGTAACTCACCATAATTAATTAAGCGATTTCATGTGTAACTGGCGTGGGATGAAAGTGAGATATCAACGAAGACGATCAGAAAAGAATACTAAAACATGTATATATACATACATACATACATATATATATATATATAATATATATAGTTTAACATCAATTAACTCTTTACGGGAAGAAAAAAAATCAACTTCGTTGGTTTGTTGAGGCTGAAGTGACAACTTAACCTAGTGGTGGCTACCTTATCATTTTTAAATTCTCTTTTTTCCCTTAAAAAAACTGTTAGTTAGAACACAACTGTCATAAGTAGGGTTTTTTTAGTTTAAAAAAAAATTAAGTTGTTATTTTTTTTTTTTCGTATTCACTGTCTAACGGGTTAGAATGGGGTTTTGCAAATTTGGTTTACCATTAATGTCACTCACTCAAAAATTTTTATTTTAAATTCCTTTACCCAAATTGTCATTAGAGTATTTATATATCGTATTTAAACACATATTTTATATTTTAAGGTAGAAAATTAGATAGGTAACTCTTGATGGTAAGAATTGGAGGAACAAAATTGAAGAACTACATTACTAGCCCGAAAATAGAACACTCAAGTACAACTCATTTCGAGTATATTATGTAACATGCACCTTAGAAAAACAAAATACTATGTAACATGCTAAAAAAACATAAATTGCAATATTATCCTAAAAATTGGAGTCGAACAATTAATTCAAATTAGAAATCAAAGTATTAATTAACCATTGGTCAAGCACCAAACTTTTGAATCCTGTATCCAAAAGCTAATTAATCTCTCACCCTAGCGAATATAATCATTGTTTAACTAATTACTGTTTCACGTGTTCATTTGAAATTGAGTTTTGAAGCAGTTATTTCATCAGAAACACAAAAATGACATCGTTTTTATCTCATAAGAGTTCAAAATTTAAGAGTTTCATTTTTCAAAATTTAAGATTAAAGTAAGAAGGGAAAGAAGGAGAAAAGAAGAGACCGTAGGGCCGGCTCCTTTTATTTTTCAACTCTTGAAGACGTTTGGTAAGGGAATTCATACCATGATTTGAATCATGGTTCATAGTTCACTATAGTATTTTCTCTCATAAAAAATACACGTAAATCAAAAATAATTATAATCTCATGATTCTAATCCATGAACTAAACGTCTAATTTCTAAAGTAAAACCATCCATTTTTTTTATTTTCACCATTTAATTTATAAAATTAAACCGTTTTGCTGTCCATTTCTTTCCATATTATAATATGCTAAAAGTCAAAGAAAAAAAAATCAAATAACGAGCCCTTGCAGGGGATCATCTTGGGTTGCGGAGGCCGACGACAAGTTAACGCAGGTAGGAGGAGACAATGATGGAGCAGTTTATACTAAACATAGTAACTTAAAAAATGTTAACGTGACTTTTTTTTTTATCACTTTTTTCATTCACTATTTAATCTATAGACTCTATTATATTATTTTTTATTTAATTAATAATATATTATATTAATAGAATTTACGTGTCAAATAATGAACAAAGAAAATAACAAACAGAGTAACGAAATAAGCGATTGTAGCATTTCTCTTCCATTCTCGGCCCAAGATTGCATGTCCAAATGCCTCTTAATCTAAAGTATTTCCTTTTAGGGAAAATCTGCGGTATTTTATTACACCTAATTTTAGTTAAGAGATAGTATCACCTTTCTATATATGAGCTTGGAAATTCAAAAAGACAAGAAGGATCCAATTTGATGACGATGACACGTTTGGAAATTCTATTGGTGGTTGACCAATAATGCGAAAGAGTATATAAGCTTGAGATCATTTCTGTTGGGCTATTGACCACGTGGCTAAGAACTCGCCGACACTAATTCTCTGTAGCCTATAGAATTATTGAATAGTGTTAAATACTATGAATTGTTTTTATTTCTTTCATTGAATTTCAAAAACTTTTCAAACATTCAAACCGCCACTTTAGGACAATCTATCCCAAGTCCCAACCTCTCCCATTTTTTCATTACTTAAACAACTTTGTTGATCACATTCAAAACCAAATCATACACTTTCTAAAAAGACAAATAAAGTTCCACTTATATTCTAACACGTGATTCTCTTGATTTTTATATAATACATAATAAAGTATACTTTCATTGCCTTCTACAAAACTTCCTGGGAGTCCCACAAAAGCATGAATGTCACATTTCCTGGAAAAAAAAAATGTAAGTATTTAATAAAGTAACATATCAAATTAGTGTATCCAAGAATAAATGATAATATTGCCTAATTCAATACATACAAGTTTTATGATTTTTGTTACACCTACTAAAAATCAATGTTTGCCTACGAAAAATTCTTCTTATTGTGTTTCCATAAATTTTCAACAAATTTTACCAAATTCTCATATTTTTCTAGCACGAATATTCGAAAGTGTGAATGCCACAACACTAGTGAAAATTAGAGTTTATTTGGTACGAGGATTCAAACCAGGGTGATTCTAATCATGATTCTAAAATCAGAACCATAATTCACGATTTTATGTTCAAATCATTATTCTGAAACCATAATTCAGAATCAGATGTTTGAATCACCTTGAATTAAGAGGGAGAGTGGTTTTAGAATCATGAGTGATTTTGGTTTAAAACATCACATCAAATTATGAATCATCTAAACCAAACATTGATTTAAAATCATGATTCGGAATCACTGTAAACAAACACTGATTCTGAACTATGATTCAGAATCATAATTCTGGATCCATCTACCAAACTTGTATTAATATGTTTCTTAAATAGAAATGAATCAAAACCGTACGAGCAAGCTTAAATATTTTATATAAGGAGGAATTATATATAATTAGTTGGCTGAATATATAAGGAAAGTGTGAAGGAATTGGAATTGGCCAACTTTCATAAGATTCGTGTAAGTTTTTGTCAACTTCAACTACTATATAATACAAAAGTATTTGGTGTGAGAGAGTTGGACCAAAATAAGGTGGGGTAAAGTCACTCTCGTCCAACTCTTTTATTTATTTATTTATTTATTTTTATTTTTTGAGGTCTCGAAAGGTCTTTGATCCTAATAAATCTTTAATGTTGATCATTGTTGTTGGCACCTAGTGAGGCTTGAATATAATGTCACTCTTACGTGGACCATTTGCTAATTTATGCTTGTAGAGTCCTCAAATTAATTATATGGGGCTTTTCTTTATTTTTTTTTCTGTTCTTTTTTCTTTTTTTTAACTTCTGCCAATACCTTAAAGGGTACAATTCAGTCCTATTTTCTAGTTTAATTGGAGGGCTTTAGTTTGTTGAGTTATAAATAATAATGTACCATCAATTAATTAGGCATTTTTAATCATATTCATTTGATAACCAAGACAAAGGCGGATATTTTTCTTTTGCTGGAAGTTCATATATTTCGAATCCGGTGTAAATTAGTAGACTGATTTACTACTTGATAAAGTTTGATTAAGTTTTGAAATAAATACCTTTCAAAAAATTGAAAAAAAATAAAAATAAATATTTTTTTGAGGAAAACAAAAATATGAATGTTAAATTTGTGGATTAAGTATTGGCCACCATCGTAATTATAATATAGAATGTGGAATCCTTGCAGCTTTCCCTTGACACTTGAACAAGAGTCATCATCTAAACTTGACTAAACAATAATCAATTTGTGAATGACCTTAATTAGTTTAAGAAATTAAGGAAACAAATATGTGCCTGTCCCATCAGAATATATCATATTTGGTCTAATAATTGAAAGGGAAGTTCATTATTAATTATATATGAACTACTAATTTACACATTATTATGTGTACTATACTTGCGATTTTTCCCCCTGAGGTGATCAACTGGCCTCGTCCGTTGAAAAAATCAAGCATATATCATCAGTATATATATAGGTTTTTTTTTTTTCCTCGAACATAACATATAGTTATGAAAATATAACATGATAATTATTGAACGTAACTTTAACATTAGAGAGAAATAACATAATCTTTAAATGACTAAATTTTTTAGTGTTACTTTTTTTTAACATTGATGTTACGTATAATAATTGTTATATTACGTTTTTATAACGATATGTTAAGAAAGGCCTATATATATGTATAATAAGTACTATTCTACAAGTTCATTGTTGGCAAAAACTATTCTTATACACTGCATGATTCGTGTGATGCATTGTTCGTGTACGTACATACTACATTGTGAAGTTTGTTTAGTGGTTATTCGGTTAACCCATGTGATGAATATGGCAACCATTGACGGGGCAAATGTAGAAACTTCAGAGCAATTCCCAAGTAGCACGTTTTTGGCATTATCAATTTCTTTCTTTCCTTCCCCTCCTTTTCCTCTAAAAAAACAATGGCATAGCAAGAATTATTACCATAGAGTGGAGAAATTTTTTTCATAAAAAAAAAAAAAAAAATTGTTAAAGGAGCATCATCTCGAGGCACTTGCAGGACTCCTTTTTTTTTTTTTTTAAATGATACAAGTTTTTCCAAAAACAAAAATAGGGAGTTTCTCTAGTATGCTTGATCTACTGGTAGTGTCAGTTTTTAACTGTTTGATCATGTTAAAATCATATCAGATTAAAAAAATATGCAGAAAATATAATTTTTTATACATATCTAACGGCTGAAAATAAAAAAAACTATTAGTAGTTCATTTTTTATGATCCTACTAGATAAACTCTCAAATAATAAATACCCCATAGACAGAAAAGATAATTTTTTATACATATCTAATGGCTGAAAATAAAAAAAAACTATTGGTAGTTTATTTTTTATGATCCTACTAGATAAACTCTCAAATAATAAATACCCCATAGGGCAAAAGTATTAAGATTTAAAAGAGTTGTCAAAACATCAATTCATTAAAAAAAAAAAAAAAGAAATGGATCGCTTTAAAACTTTGAACAATCTAAGGGAATTCAATTAATTTATAGAGAACAATTATCCAATCCGACTTCCCCAATCGCAAAATTTTATGATTTTTTCACAATTCAACTCACAACTCTTGTGCTACAGTAGCAAAAGAGCTTGAATTGTGGGCACGACCTCGGCACAAACCTTGGACCTTGGCCCCAACACTAACCCCGACTTTGACCCCAACACGCCCTTGAACTTGGCTTTGAGAATATATATTTAAAAAAAAAAAAAGAGTGTTCTCCAGGAAAAAAGAAAAAAAAAAAGCTTTTCACTTCTTGTTAAGAAATTTTGTAATTAAAAAACAAAGAGATGGAACTGCTCTTTATCCTTTGTTACCTCGTTAAAAGGGTGGTTAATTGTATACGTATTGTATACATGACATCGAAAGACCATATAGTGGAATTAGAAAGCTCTTCAACTAAAGAGTACCTAAAAATAAATTAGTGAAACAGAACATCCGCTTTATTGTGTGTTTGGTTAGTGTATTCGTACTATAATTTGAATCATGATTCATGATTCACTATAATATTTTCTCTCACAAAAAATACACGTAATTCGAGAATGGTTCTGAATCATGATTCTGAATCCATAAATTAAACGTCCACTTAATTTGCAGTGTATTCCCCAATCACTCATCATTCAGCAACATGGAAATCTTCATTAGTCAATAGTTAACCCTGCAAGCCCATAATCCTAGCATATAGATACAGTGAGAGAGAAATAAGTCAACGTTGGACAGGCCTTCCCTTTAATTGAAGCCATAATGTTGCCAGGATGTGGTAGGGACTACTTGTTACCCTTTACACTTTATTATCTACATTTTATTATCCTGGTCGTTCAGAGATTTATGTAGATCCACATTATAGTTTATAGCCATGCGTATGATGATACATCGCATCTTAAGTAAGGATTCTTATATATATAGCTATGGTCCGTCTATCCACGGTTCATCTAACGTAACATGTAAAAGTGAAACATGTAACATTACAACGTGATATTAACTTTAGAGAGTCGTAACATAATCAATTTTGACGATTATCATGTTACATCTAACATCAAATTTTATGTTTGATGACTGTCATATGATCCATCTGGATAGACGGTTCGTAACATGTAAAAGTGAAACATGTAACATTACAACATGATATTGACTCTGGAGTCGTAACATAATCCATTTTAACGACTAAATGTTATGTTTAATGACTGTCATGTTATATTTTTTTTATTTCTACACGTTACACGGATGGACCATAGCAACTATACATATAAATATATAACACGATTGGTCACATGGAGAGGTGATGACAAAGGAAAAAGGAAACGAAAATGAAGAAAGATGAGGGAGAAAACTCCATAGAACCAGCAAGATGAATTATTTCCGATAGAAGGTCAATTCAAATTAACAAGATAACATGATAATAACAGTGAAAACTAGTTTCGAAAAATACAGGCTTGAATTACGTACAAGGCAACATAAAGACATGAATTATGATGTACCATTCAAATTTCAAGACAGTTTTTGATGCTGAAAAGATTATTTCTAAAAGACCAATCTATGGCATCCAAAATTCTAGTCATCAATGTTCTTCATGTATTCCTTTGATAGTTTAGTTTCCATTATCAGCTGCTGTTCTTTGACTAAAGAATTGCCTGATTCAAGCAAAGCTTCTACTGTTTGCTGTTCATCAAAAAGCAAAATTAAGAAACTCATTATCACCCTACCAAACCCAAATTTTAGAGTCCAGACAGACAAAGGAGATACGAAATGCCACATGCAATGTACAACTTTAAACTTTCTCAACATCTATACAGAATGGTGTATTTTCAAAGGTGTCAGAAAATGATAGTTAATGGAATGAGGCTAGCATGATTGAGTTAGATTCTAAAATGCCATAACTCGAATTAGTAACTGAAAGGGGACAAAAACTAGTCACTTGTGACGCTCTGGAATACTAGTGATGCTTCTTCTTTCCTTCAGCGCAAACAAAAATGGAAATCAACTATCACTTACCGACTGAAACCTATAGTTTTGTAAAAGTGAAGGGGTATATATAAGTGAACTCTAATGAAATCCTTTAATCAGAGTTCACTTATATATATACCCCTTCAAATCATGCATGAGATGCATAAAATGTCTTTGCACCAAGTTGTAGGATACTGCCTATACTATCCTTTTTTCATAAGGCCGTGATCTTCTTCTGAAAATAATCGTTCCTTCCCTCCTAGTAATTCTTTAGTAGATCTCACAGGTGATCCACCAGCTTCAAGATATATTCATGGAGAGGTAAATCTGATAGAGGACCTTGAGACTCGCATGAATGCTCTGAATAATACACTTCAAGACATAGAACTTCACGCTTCCGCAGAGCTAAATTATTATTCTTTGAAGATACAAGAATTAAAGAATCAAGCTACACAGGCTTTTTGGACACATCTCTGATCTCCAGGCGTACGTTGAACAGAAAATTGCAGTTTTGAAATATAGTCTTGTGAGAGCTGAGGGAGTTCTCCAGGTTACCTCTGAGGAAAAATTGATAAACCAAACCACAAAGATCCCAGTTTGACAAGTTTGACCTCCATGGATATCGATATACAAATATGGATATAAATACTCGATGCTTTCTTACATTCTTACTGATGAATAACACAAATCATGGTATAAGATTTTGTTGCTGTCATGGGCTCTCTGAGAACAATCAAAAGGTCCTTTGAGAGTCTTGTGCTGACTGATTTTCAAATAATAAAACAAAACAAAACAAAATAACAAATGTCCAATCCTAGAGAACCTAGTTCTAGAGTTATCTCTGCTTCAGTACATGAAATATATCTGTATTTCCTTCAAAATTTTGGAAAAGCATTGGTACCGAAATATCTTTTAGGTTTGAGTGTTTTTTTCTTGCCCAAAAAGCTCAGGAAAATGACGGTTAATATCAGAAAATATCAGCGAACATATTGATACCAATGACGATGAGGCTGCAAGATTTTTATACCTTATTTCTAGTGCACGAGAAAATTAACAAGTAAATCAACAGGCAGAATAAGAGAGAACGAGAACTTTGTCGTTCATTATGGAGAGAATACAAAAACAAAATCCACTATTAACGCAATGTAAATGGATAGCAAGACACTCAATCTTATTGCCTAAAGTCCCTCTGCACCTTTGTGTCTATCTATAAAGCAACAACGATTACTGCAATTTAAAAAATACCCCTTGAAATGGAACCTCCTTTTATTTCTACCCCTTAACATTAGTCCGTATATTTCTGCCTTTTAGACTAGAACTAGTCAAGGGGTAGGATTTTTAAAAGGGGTACTTTTAGTAAGTCGGGTACTTACAGTAGTAGGATCTGTAATTTTCTCTTTATTCTTTTTTTTTTTTTTTTAATACTGGTGCCCTGGTGTAGTAGGCCTAATCTCCTCATTAACAAACGGGACCAAAAGGCTTGTTTTGGGCTTTGATAAATTAAGGCTACTGAGCCTATCAAGCTAGGGTTTTGTTATTGAGGAAATTAGGTGGCATGCTACAACTTTCATATCTTCAGATTTATGCCACAACTACTTTGTGGTTCAAGTTTATGCCATGTTTTGTTGATTTTTGATTCATTTGTGTGGTACAAATGAAAAGCTCCAACATTCATGGCATAAATCCAAAACTGATGTTTTATTATGGCATTCCCCAAAATTTCTCTTTATTCTTTATTTTTTGGTGTTAAGAATGCAACTAGTCGCGCTCTAAGTGCCGTGTGTGTGTGCATTTAGTAGTAGAGTGCAACTGGAGAATTTAGCTTTATTTCATTATTTTATATTTCCTTCTTTCATTAGTTTTTCATCAGTGTTTAGGTCCCGGGGTTTTTTTTTTTTTTTTTATATTTCCTTCTTTCATTAGTTTTTCATCAGTGTTTAGGTCCCGGGGTTTTTTTTTTTTTTTTTATATTTCCTTCTTTCATTAGTTTTTCATCAGTGTTTAGGTCCCGGGGTTTTTTTTTTTTTTTTTATATTTCCTTCTTTCATTAGTTTTTCATCAGTGTTTAGGTCCCGGGGTTTTTTTTTTTTTTTTTATATTTCCTTCTTTCATTAGTTTTTCATCAGTGTTTAGGTCCCGGGGTTTTTTTTTTTTTTTTTGTCACTTTGTTATTTAGTCTTGTTATTTCATTAAACAAAACTTATTGAGAATTCTCTCAATATTCCTACATCAATTTATATTCATTACAATCAACGAATTTGTGGTTTTGCCATTTTTCTAGCATTTGTGAACGAATCAACAGACTAGTAAATGCCCTTGTTTTTGGTATTCTTAGTGAATCAACAGATATCAGGAAGATTTATCCTATTTTCTCGTTATTGCTACACTTCCGCGCTACATCACATGCACACGCACACGCACAGCACATGCACACATATATGAATGGACACTCCGCAACCGCAAGTGAGAGAGTTGGTATTCCAATTCCGTTGGAGCAATGATATAAAAGCTAGTAAATGCCCTTGTTTTCGGTATTCTTAGTGAATCAACAGATATCAGGAAGATTTATCCTATTTTCTCGTTATTGCTACACTTCCGCGCTACATCACATGCACATGCACACGCACAGCACATGCACACATATATGAATGGACACTCCGCAACCGCAAGTGAGAGAGTTGGTATTCCAATTCCGTTGGAGCAATGATATAAAAGCTAGGAAGTTTTGGGAAGAAAAATAAAGTAATAACTCGTATTTCGTCATTAATCACAAGGAATGCCAATATAAAAACTAAAATAAATGTTAAAGTTGGCCAGAGTTACCTTTGGAGGAGTAAAAACGGGAAGTTTGTCACTCTTTCTTCTCTTTAGGAGTTTGCTTCCAAGATTTTCAACACCTCCAATATCGTCAACCCACTATTACAAAAGACAAACTAGTTAATACATGTGTACTCATAATCTCGTAGAACTTGTGCACTTAATCACACACAAAATGGACCGTCAATCTTATACTAACATCAACTGTGAGTCAAAGAAAGATGGAGGAAATACACAAGGTTACAGCAACTTTAAATTTGTAAAGTTCCTTTCATTCTTGACTTATGATGAGCCATTTAATTTTCTATAGTTTTTTTTTTTTTGGTGTTGCACCAAAAGGTTACTTTACAATCACTCTGGTGAACCTGGTTTGAAAAGAAAACCAAAAGGATATATTAATACTTAAAATTCAATTCGTTACCTCCAAAATAAGGACTTTCTTTTGTTTATTTATTTATTTTTTGCCGTAATCAAAGTACTTAGAACCTAATATGTAGGTTGAATACAACTCGGATAATAAATCCCGAAAAGAACTAAAGACTCTTGGAAACAATAAATTATAAGAAAAATAAACAATTAATCCTCGTTCAAAAATAAAACTCGGATAACTGTAAAAGTTACTTGGACTGAATGTGGCTTCCACCCTTAAACCGACTTTTTAACTGCCAAACACTCGTTTGACGAAACTGAAGCCATATTACAGTGCTAAAACAGAGCGTTTTCAACAAGATGTAGGCTCAACAATCAAACAAAATTGGTTTTCTCTGGCAACCTTTAAAAGGTAGATTAGCATAGCATCAATTTTATTTTATTTTATTTTACTTCTTTTTATTTTTCTTTTTTCTTTTTTTGGAGAACGCTTGTTCTCTTTCCTTTGTCATTGATTCCATATCAATAAAAGGAAGTGATTTCTCCTAGGATTCCCTCATCTGGGATCCTGGGGAAGGGATCAACTTGGCTCTTGCGAACAGCTAGTGCACTATCCCCCTTCAACCCCTGGAGTCGGGAAAGTCCATGGACAGACTCCATCGTCTCCACCACGAAGGAACAACGAGATCACCTCAATGACGCCTTTGGTATCCAGGGGCAACAACAACAAAAATTGACGAAGACATAAAAAGTGAGGAAAAAGCAAAACAAAATCTCCTTAAGTCGACAGATTAATTATTCATCTCGTTTAAAAGATGCAACAAGTTCTATCGCATATAAAATTTGCGACTTTTAAATATTTGCAAGATTTAAAATGTTAAATAATCTAAAAATAAACAATCTAAAAATGAATGGTTGCTACCTTAGAAATAGACCTGTCATATGTTCGGGACCTTAGAGCTCCATAGAAATCCAGGGCTGCAAAATCACCAAACAAGACAGATAAACACGTAAACAAATCAACAAACAAACAAATAGATAAGTATAACCTTAAAATTAGTTTCAAGATTTTAAGGGAAACCCAAAGTAGACAGCCCTTTGATTGAACCCTAAATCAACCTAGGCAAACAGAAAACATTAATATATGTACTCAAAATTAGAATGTGTGAAGCATACACTGGTAAACACAATAAAGGGTAAAAGAAAGAGGGGGGAAAAAAAGGCGTAAAGCAAAGAGAACACCCAAAAAATAAACAATAATATAGGACAATAATGAACGTGGAATTAGCATGAACGAAAACGTAAATATCCACTAAGGATTGATGCAACTGATGAATCCCCAAGAGAAAATAACATAAACTGTAACATAAGGAAATTTGCGTAACGGTGAACGGTGGTTGTCAAAAATGCTACATTGCTCTAAGTGCATTCTTAAATGAGTAATTATACTTATCTATCTTGGTATTAAAATATTAAAACTCATGTGAGCCAATATCCTAAATCTTTTGGAAGAAATGATAAATTAATATGATATAAGAGCAGAAGATCCCAAGTTCAAACCCCTGTAATTGCACTCTCTAGATTAAGGGCGCACGTTCTTACTTTGCATGAATGGGAAAAGAAGACCTAGGAGTGATATGAGAATATAGGGAATGAAGAAAATGAATACTAATCCTTGCACCCTCTGGGTATTGATTCCAGGTTAAACAGAATGTGTCAAATTCAATTATAAGTCGATGATTATTTAATTATGTAAAAGGGCAATTAACTAATTGCATTGATAAAATTCCTATTCCCAAGTTTAATAAACACTAGAAGGGAATTGGATTGTTTCCCAGTCCACCAACAAATAGACAAGACAAGTAAACACTAAAAGGGATTCATTTTTCCTCATTCTTGTTACTTTGCTTTCCTTTTCCATCACTTTCCTATTCCCAAGTTTAATAAACACTAGAAGCGAATTGGATTGTTTCTCAGTCCACCATCAAATAGACAAGACAAGTAAATACTAAAAGGGAATCGTTTTTCCTCATTCTTGTTACTTTGCTTTCCTTTCCCATCACATTCATTTACGGTTTGATAGATGCACCCTGATTGCAATTATGTATTGGGTCTTTGATATGTTTTGGCCTTGTAACTAAATATTCACGTGTTGGACTAGTTCAATTAATATTTGCGCAAATAATTCCCATTATCTAGCCCACAGATGAGTGTTAAGATATTCAACTAACATTAGTGCACCTCTTAATAGCTTAAGGTTTTGGGAGAAATTGTAAATTAACACTATTTAATGGCTTCCATTTTAATTTAGATCGAGGAGTTCCATCCTTTCATATTAAAAAAATCTCCAAAAGTCCCTTCAAGTACGGACCATGAAACTTCATATAATGAAAATAAGAATTCTCAAGTATTCTCGGTGCTCGTCTTGATATATAGTTCGCATAAAAGTAACCAAATGAGAGAGGCAACATAAACAAAATAGATTCAATGAAAACCTAACTAACACTATGAGAAGTAATGAGATTATAAAAGATAAAAAGTGGACTCACTCACAAATTTAATATATAACCGGAAGAACCATAATGACATAAAAATTGTGATTACAGTACTCACCATCTTCTACAAAGATACTTTAACATATAATATAAGCAGGTATAAATATAATACCTTATGTGCAAGGTATTTTTCTTTATTTTTGAGCAAGATTATATCTAAGGCTACTAATTTGGCACTTTCAAATTGTTATTGCTCATTAAATATACCCACCTATAAGAAGACTAACAAGAAAATACAAGGAAAAGGATACCTTGATTAGGAAATGTGTTCACAATGCTTATAACCTCGTCTCTAGATATTCCATCTGTCTCATACATCCTGTGGACGATATTCACAATGTCCTCACGGTTTGGCTGCCTGTTTCCCAGACAGCAACATTTCAGCAAAGAAAGTGTGCTAAATTAGCTCAGACAAAAAATAATTACAGTAGTTGTTGATGTCAAAACTAACATGTGTGATATTGGACATATTATTGCCATAAATGATGAACAAAATTCGCATTAAACATTAAGAATATCACACTTGTAAAGAAAAATAAAAACAAGAACGACTATAAAAGTAATCGCTAATATGCAGTTGCAAGCAAAATGAACATGGTATATAAAAAAAATGATATTGCTCATTGGTGTAGATGAGTAAACGCCATAACTTGCTTAGAAACATTTATATAAGATACAACAATAATTCAGGCTCCCGTAGGTTGATGCGTGTTTCTAGTGGCTTTTAATATTATGTTATGTGGTTGCTGAAGTTGTAGGTTGATGCGTGTTTCTAGTGGCTTTTAATATTATGTTATGTGGTTGCTGAAGTTAGAGTATGAATACCGTAAAGATTGTTAAAATGTTGACGAAAGACACTCTTTGGCAGTGAAAAAGAGAAGGTGGTGAAGATCATTTGATTGCTTAAGTTTAATCTTGCATAACGGATTTGACCTTTTATGCAAATAGTCATATAGAGGTTCTCATTAAAGCAGGAAAATTTATGGTATTTGTTTATTGGCTTGGAGATTCTTCATTGTCCCTTTCTTTCCAAAAGATTTTTATTTACTTTTATCAAGGGTGACAAAATGCGTACACAAATTAGATTCTCTTTGTCTCTGCATCTTGTGTTTGTCAATGTAGAAATTTAAAGTCCATAAGTTTCATATTTATTTACGTCTTGGTAGAAGACTGAGAAAGCAGCATTCTTGATTTAATTCAAGTGCCACTGTTCTAGAATAGAAATGCATAGTAATTGATTGAGACAAACAAATCACCTACCAGTAAAATTTTTCCATCCGTCCATCTCGAATCAAGGGAGCGTAAATTGTTGAGAAATCATTCCCAGTGACAATGATAGGAATCCTATTTGTAATATCTGCTTCTCGCCAGTCTTGTCCAACACTCACTCTTGTAGGATTATCCGCCAGATTCATGAGTGTTCCAACAACAATTTGATTGTTGACTGTCATCTGAGTGTTTCCTATATAATATGAGACAGGAACATATGTTTTGCTATAATGAATTAGTACGTGTATAATGTTGATGAGCCAATTCTATGTTTCCAACAAAAGAATAACTATGGAGGGTATCAAGTGTAAGGGACCCTGAGAGAGAGAGAGACATTTAATTGCATTTTTTTTTCCCATCAAGTAAATCTAAATCAAAAAGTAACTCTGCCAGTCAAATTACAAGAACTATTATTCACCGACGTACTTACATTGACGAGCCAATTCGATGTTTCCAACACAAGGATAACCATGGAGGGTATCAAGTGTAAGGGACCCAGAGAGAGAGAGAGAGAGAGAGAGAGAGAGACATTTGATTGCATTCTTTTTTCCATCAAATAAGTCTAAATCAAACAGTAACTCTGCTAGTCAAATTACAAGAATAACTATTACTCACCAAATCTACCAAGGCCAGCATCAATGTCGTTGATCATTAAGCAGCTCATCTTGCCCTTACATTGTCAAGGAAAACACAATTAAACTACGCTTTTGCAGTATTCATAATGCTATTTTCTTTCAATTCCAATTATTCTCTCCCCAGCCAAAAAAGCATCCCTAAATGCAACGGCTAGTATATGATCACGTTCCAATTACTGCATCTTTGATGTAAAGAAACTAATTGAAATTTTTTAATAAGAAAAACATCTTTATTGATAAAAATCAATTAGAGCTAGAGAGGATAAGGTATCCTCAATGTAAAAGAAACGTGACAGAAAAAAGAGCAAACAACTGAAAGTACAGAAAAAAAAAAAATCAGTTCCCTATAACATCTTTCCAATTCAAAACAGCCAAGGAAATTAAATGAAATATAATGTGTCTGTGTGTTTGATGCCAAAAATAGACCATAAATGTCCCATGGCGCATGGGAGTACTGCTCGAAACAAAGGACTGTACGCTTCAATCTGCGTCAAACGTATCTTACACATGTCATCTCAACAGCTTCTTTATGTTATTTGTGAATATAGTCCCAAATGCAATATTAGGATAAAAGAGGTCTTCAACTACCGGCCATTTGTTACATTGAACAAGTATCCAATCTGAATCGGGAAGATAGACAAGCCAAATAGTAATCTTGGATAAACTAAATAAAAGCTTTTCTATCTTTTTTTGGAGGGTCTAACAGCCTGTCATAATTAGTTAACTCTTCACTGGGAAGGAGGATGAAGGTGTTGTATATTTTTTCCTGAAATTGTGCGTACGTTAAACAAGATTCTGCACTCTGAATTTCGTCGAAGGGATAAATGAAAATAGAAAGGAAAGAAACCCTTTCTCTCACAAAATAGAAAGAAGAGATAATGTTTCCCTCCTTTTCATACATTTTGGCATATTACAGAGATACATTATTTGTGCATCAAACAGAGTGTCCTACAGATAAACAGACAAGTTGTCTTCTTTAAAAAGAGGAAAAAATCAGAACTGATCCTGAACATACAGAAAGTTACAAGGGTTATTGGCATTATTAGTCCCTAGACTTTTAGTATAGTGACAATTTGGTCCCTAAACTCTTAATGTTTGCATATTAGTCCCTAAACTTTTGATTTTTGACATTTTGGTCCTTGACACTAAAATTGACAAGCTTTTTCTGAAATTTAGCGTAGATAATCACATCCTCATTGCATAATAACTGAAAATTTTGCATAGATATTTACAGTAAGCGAAAAATGATATAGTTTTCAACAGGTTGCAAGAGTAAGAAAGAGAGAATTTTGCATATAACATAACTCTTTCTGTAAAGTTTTAAGTTATTACGCGAAAGAAACATGATTATCTTGTTAAACTTCATAAATCTTTCGTCAATTTTAACGTCAAGGACCAAAACTGTCAAAAAACAAAAGTTCATAACTAATATGCCAAAAACAAAAGTTCAGGGACCAAAATGTCACTATCCTCAAAGTTCAGGGACTAACTGCGCCAATTACCCAACTTATAAACCACTATGTTAATTGAAATAAATTAAAGCAAAAGGACATTTTTACATCCTTTGAAGTGGAAACACAGAGAAACACCCAGAATTGCAGTGTATTCTTAAAAACCCAACATTCCTTTCTATCTAAAAAGCATAAAAACGTTGTTACTTCCAATTTGCAGAAAGGGGAAGGGACTATTCTTCTATTTATTCAACACAAAAATTATCACAAGATTATGGCACTATCCACCAAATCCAGCCTCCAAAACCAAACTACATCAAGGATACTTTGACAAAAGCACCAACACAACCAATCTCACTAAAGATGGTAGCTGGTGTGATAAAGAAAAGAAATCAATTTTGTTTAATAATGATGCATGGTCAGACCACAAGAGAGACAGACGCCTCATCTTTGAACCAGATCAATATTTTTGAGGGCTTTTGTAGGCTTTCATTGCATTAACAAATAATCTTTTGTGATTCTTCCACATCTAGTCTTCAATTGTTCCCTATATTCTCACAGATATAGAATGTATCTAAAAAGAGGAATACTGAATTTTGATATGCATTTCCCAACTTCCAAACATTCAGCTCTATAAAGCGTACTTGACTTTTACTAATCTCGTATAAACTGTAGAAAATTAACAAGGATAACTGTATGTTGAGACTTATGTGCTATACAGTTTGAAAACTGTGCAAAAGCATTGACATATTAGGGGACATGATGGGAAATGGCCTGGTTCTAGCTACCTCTTTCAGATCCAACCCCTCTCCTCCATCCCTCAAATCAAACAATGGCAAAAACTAAAAAGTTATATAATATAATTGAGAAAAGAATTATGCAGGCAAAACATTAACACGAACTAAGAAAAAGAAAACAAACAATAGTGGCGAACAAGTATAACATAGTGCATTAATTAATTCACAACCCAAGACATACATATAGGAGTAGTGAAAGTGGTAAAGCTTCTAACTTGGTTCTGGACCACTTGAGAAGCTGTTCTATAGCGTTCACGAATCAGTTTCCCTGGCTCACCTGTATTAAGAATATTGTGCCAAAGTATGAGAAACAAAATGTCTTGTTTTCATTATTCTAGTAAATTACAAGTATTTTGTTCAAAATCATAAAAACGAAAAATCCATAGCAAAGTATTTCCCAGAAGACATTAACTAAAAGAATCTGTCTTGGCAATTTGGAAGATAGCAGTAGAAAGACTACAAAACTTGTACTACTTAAAAATGTGATTTGCATTTCATCTTTTTCATTTCCCAAATCCAATCCCCCAAAGCATAATAGGGACTATCTTACCAGCTCTTTCTGACTCTAGTTCTCCCGCAGACATAATTACAGGTTCAATTCCCATGGTCTGGAATATAAGTTCAGTCTGAAATGATTTTCCTTGCCCCTTTCCTCCCCAAATACCTGCAAGAAAATATTAAAACATGTTTTTTTACATGGAACCATAAAGCCCAAATTGTTACCAATATTGATGTAGTAGAAATTTTTGGAAAGGGAAAAATGAAGGAGTTTTATGAAAAGAAATTAATATTGACGAAAAATTAAAGGAAATGGTTGTTAATTTTTCAAGATATCTTAATATGTTGGTAAAATTTTAACTATCCTAGACTAGAAAAGGATAATGAGGAAACAACTGAAGGACAAATCACTCATTATTACAAAGATTCCCACCTTGTCTTTGCAGAACATATTTAATCTACACTCACTTTCATCAGGAGAAAACAAACAAAACAAAAAAAATAGAGAGAAATTTATACATAATAAAATGCAATTTCATTTATTTATGCGATGTCAATTTTAGAAGCTTGTGTGTTCAATTCACGCAGGGTTTAATTCACATTTTCAAAAGAAAACAAAACCAAAAAAAAAAAAAGGAGGAGGCCAAACAACTTTGTTTGATTTTTGTATGTTAATATGCAGTCCAAAATCCTTCCGAGATAATTACCTAGGATCAAAGGAACTTTAGTATTGAGAAGATGAGAGAGGTAGTTCTTCGTGATGTGGCATACTGCATAAACAAAAGAGCAATAAAACACCCAAGAAAGAAGGAGAGCGGGTAAAGTATGGTATCAATAAAAAAAATAATGGGCCAGGGCTTAGGATAGGAAATGGAGAATTTGATCAGAACGAAGAGGTAGAAAAACTGCACAATTGATAGAAGATTAGTAAGGAAAATTGCATAGATGAATAATATGTTTTTTCTTCCCTTCTAGTTTTTGCTAACTAAAACAGCTAATGATAACCAATCTGCATATTAAATTGATTTTATATTCACATTCTCAAACGGAGCATCTATCTAACTCCCATCCATATCAACTAACTTTTTTTTTTTTTTTGAAACAAGAAAAATTGATAAAACTTATTTACAGCCAAAGAGATATCTTCAAGAAAATTAAAAATAATAAAAAAAATAAATTAAAAAAAAAGAGCGACTAAGCTACAAAAATGGATCCCAACTCCTAATAAAGTCCAAAAGAAAAGTTCTAAATTCCTTATCCCCATGGACCCAAACTGCAACTGAAAATTGGACCCCATCCCAAATGACGGAACAACCTTCCTCGTGGCCCTAAAAAATTCTACGGTTTCTCTCAGTTCCCCCAAAAAATAGCTAAAATTGCAACCTTCCCCAAAATGTTCCCTCCTTTTGTTAGGTCCAGACCGAGAAGAAGACACATAACTCCTTGCAACTCCTGGAGGTAACCCAAGAAAGTCTGAGATCTCTCAACAATAGGTACCGGATGCTATAGGGGAAAGAGAAATGCAAAAACAAGTGATCAACTGATTAACCACTATTCTTGCATAAGTTACACCAATCTGGGGAAATTGAGAGTTTGAGACAAACAATTTTCATCGTAACATTAAATCATGAGTATTCCGTTAACTTCAGAAAGAATAAGGATTTCCAAACAAGATTGAAAAGATCAAAGGGAATGGCATAAGGATCATTAGTCAAAAATGAAAAGAATGATTTGACTGAAAAAAAGCCCTGAATGATCTAAGCCCCACCCTCATCTGTCCAAAATCCCATCCGAAAGGAGGATTCTGTACAAACCAGAAACAAGCTCCGAAGCCTCCACTATCTCCTTTCAATTAAGTTTCTGGAGAACTTAAAGTCCCAGGAGAGGGCCTCACTCTCGCTCTCCCCCTGTAAAGTGTCCAAGACAAAATTGCTAATGGGTTGGTTATGGAAGGAAGGAATTCTAATAAAGCTGGAAATTGGCTCAAAAAGGGCTGCTCATCACACCAATGACCTTCCCTAAATCTGATAGTATCCCCTCTCCCCATCACCTAACTTTCGAACCAAGGTCCAAAGAGAAAAATGAGAACAACATCTCAAGTGAACTTTGTAGAATATATTCCAAAAGACAAAATGGTATAACGAAAATGAAAATAGGATAATAACGATACTAATCAATGACAAAAGATACAAGAAAAAAATTATTATAAACCTCATCCTAAGAATTATTTTAAGATTAAAAAAAACAAAAAATAAGCATTTCTACCAAGTCTTCTGACAGCTCCAACGTGAATTCTCTGTCAGTACCTTTACCACTTTTCAAATTTTACAGAACTTACCAACTTTATCCTGTCAAAAAGAAACAAGTGATAAAATAGTAAAATTAGATTCAGTAACAGAAATCATGTTTGAGGCAAAATATAAAACTTTTAAACTACAATAATAGCATAAGACGATTAGTCAGTGAAACAAAGAAAAAAATAAATTGTTATCATTGCCCCAAATGGAGGACAAAGATGCACGAGTCTCAAACTCGAACAAGAGGCTTCCTTAGTTTTTTCCGTTCTTAGCTGATTTTATCACAAAGTCAAAATGCAAGGCAATCTAACGAAACAACCTAATTCTAGTTCATCCACTTTTTAGCTTCGATTTTGAAAAATGCAGCTTGTAATTAGGGAAGTAAAGAAATGGCTCGACCATAACATAACTAAACAGATCTTGTTCAAACTAAAACAAACAGGACAAAGAAGCTCTCAATACCAGAATCAAAATCTGACCAAACGCATAACAATATAGTTTCAAACATGACAATGACAACCATTAGCAATATCAAATTTTACAAAATGCAGTAGTGGAAATGAATATACCATGAAGAGAGGAGCGATGTAGTAATCGCCTTGAAGATACTCGAACGACCTCGTCACCTTTTGACGATAATCAAACACAATATCCGCTGTCAAAAGAACGATTGGAATCAACAATTACGCAAGAAAAACCACAATCTAGAAGTTCAATAGCCATTTAAATCTCTGCAACATCCTCCTCTTGATTGCATGCTAATCGAATTCCTACGGTTTTCGAACGCGAACCAAATCGATTAAACAAAGACAAAAGAATTCAAACCGTCGTACAGTCTCGGCCGAGAAAGTTTCCGGCGAAAAGGTCATCGATGACGCCGGACCTAGCTCCGACGGCGATGTTCATGTTGTCGGCCTCCTTGCCCAACCTGTAGAGGTAGTCTCTGCCC